CGCGTGTAACGTATGTGTAATTGAAGTGCTCCACTCGCAGGTGTATTAAAATGGGGCATGTTGCGTGTCGTGATTGGAACGCGTGTCTTTTGTTGTTCTACCAACAAAACAACTTAAATATATCACAAGAATATCAAAGTAAAAAGAAAAATAGAAAAAATAACGAAATGTTCAAAATTAGTCTTTGTTAGCAATTTAGACCTCGTAGTTTTTAGTAAAAATGAAATATGTGTCGATTTCATCAATAAGATTTGTAAATTTATTTATTTTTAATCGAGAAATACTAGTAATGCACCTTAGCGCCATCTGAGAATCAATTATTTAACTATAACTATGATTAAATCTCTATACAAAGTTTCATCCCTTATTTCACACCCTTTTAGGCAAAATTTTTAATATTTTAATAGTTATGCTTCTATTCGGGAAGAAGACAAATCCAATAAATCATAAATCATCAAAATCTGTCAAGCCGTTCTTGAGTTATAAACGTTGTAACTAACACAACTCTGTTTTATGTATTGCCAACAATTGAAGAAGCGTTGAAATCATTTCATAACCTCAATGTTAAGATGACATTTACGTGCGACTAATAGGCAAGTACAAAAATAAAACTTAAACGCAAAAAAGTAATATTTACCGAGAAAAACCAGTAAATTGATCCGCAGAACTTTATACCCTGTCCCATAACATGAACTAATAGTTGTAAACAGAATATAATGACCGGAAAGATCACAATTTAAAATGCAAATTTTCTCCGATTAAATTCTACCCATAAACAAAAAAACGACACTTACTAATGTATCTCTTGCATGTAACTTGTAAAATGCAACATTTTCTGGATTCTATTTTAAATCCAAATCTTATAACCGAGGATTTATGTAGTCGCGCAGCCGCCACACCGATTTATGTAAGCAATGCACGATTCCCGGCTCGATTGTCGTTTGTTAGCGGCGTTAGAAGGGAATCAACACATACAAACCCACACACATAGTCCACGACGACATGCGTTCCGTAACTCAATCCCTTGATAGAGCTTCAAGCGACTCTGAATAATGTAAATAAATATGCGTTTTACGAGCGTCGCAGCAAACATTGAGCTTTACATGGTAGCATCTTCATGTGATGCGCCTGCTTGAATTCTAACTCTAACAACAAGAAGTAACAAGTAACAGATCTGGTGACCACTGTTCGAACCACTGTTGACTTCGACTCTAGTCGTAGTCGTAATTCGTCGAGGCGATAATTTATTATTCGTACGTGCTGCGTTAACGCCAGCGGTGGGCTTTTGTCTTTTTGTGTTTGTAACTCTAAGGTTTCGCTCGCATCTTTTGCAAGTGTAAAGAGGGGAGTTTTATGTGAGACGCGGAAGGAAAGTTTGCGTGCATCGCCCTCGCGAAGGTGTCTCAACCCTCGAAAACTCTCAGTCTCACAGGATGTCCCAAAACGATCAATCCATCACGAAAACTGCAGACATTTCAACAAAACTTTGAATTTTTCATTTTTTTAAACTAAAATACTGATTTTTTTGTTTGAAAAGCAAAATAAATTTTAAATTTAATTTCCTTTGCATTTTCTGGTTTATTTTCCGTTGCAGTATAAAGTGAAAGCGTAGAAAAGTTGCAATCAAAGTCTCGAAAAGAATGAGGGGAGATCAATGTTTGCGCTGGGGGCTTCCACCTAAACTTGGGTTAAGCCACGTCGGCGAGATGAAAACCGGTCGAAAAGCACACGGAAAGTTTGATTGTCTTATTGATTTCTCCTTCGAGATGCCCACCCTTTCAAAATTCAACCCTTGCACTAACAACATAACAGTGGAGCTTAAGAAATTTTCACGACAATCTTATTAGAATATTAAGCCCCTAACCGAGGCTTAATTGACTGTGACAAGTTATTTAACATTGTATCCCATTTTTTTCTCCATTATAAAATTCATTTATCACTGTAAATTTAAAGTGGCACTTAAACAAAAAGAAATAAAATTAAATTGTTCGCTTTGCGGTTTTGATTAATTTCTATTTGGTCGGCAGGGTAAAAAATGCCCGCACGCATCGGTGTAAATATATGCAAATGCGGTGAATTAGCGCGATGCAATGCTCGATGGGGCGGCATGGATAGCGCGCGAGGTCGGCATACCTTTTGTTGGCTCATTTTTCTTCGCCGGTTGCTACGCTATCTGTGCTATATTGATTTTCGCCACGCCCGAGCCGCGGCACGCGAAAGAACACGTCGGAGCGTTTGAGGTGGGGGAGCGGGTGGCGCTGCCGCCGCCGCCGCCGCCAACCGAGCACAAACGAGCCACGCCGAAGACAGCCAGACACTCGCTGCCAAAACGCCCACTTTCACAAGACACCTTACAAACGCATTCCGATAAGAAAACAGCGAAAAAAAATCAGGAAATGTTCGTTTGAAGTTCCATGAATTAAAATTAACACACACACACACACACGTACGTGGAATTTGCGTTTGATGTTTCACGTGTCTATGCAGAGAGAGATTCATAATTCATGGAAAAGTCGCAAATGGCAAAGGAAAACTTGATTAGAGACAATGCTTTTGATCATTTCCGACGCGAACAATATCCGCACGAAGCTCTCATATAATTATTACCCGTATCGACAAAGCACTAAAAAACTTTGCGCAGTTTTGCGCGTTTTACGAGCGAAATTTCGGCAGATATCGACGAAATAATACGTACGCAGATGAAGATCTGGTCGTAATTCCACGACAGGTTGTCTCAAGTGCCCCTGGAAGCCCGGCAACCAACGAGACACGCTTGATTAAGACGAAGAGAGACACACGGGCGATAAACATCGATCCATTTCCGCGTAGCTCCCCTTGTCTCTTGTCTCTTCTTACGTTTTGCTTTCCGCGTCGATACTCCGCAGCCCGTGTAGCAGTGGTGTGCGTGCGTGAGTGCAATGTGTGTTGCAGCACATAAGTAAACATGTAAAGTACCGCCGAATGGCGAAACGACCAAGTCGCCGTGGCTTTCGCTAAGGCTACTATCAGCGGGGGGAACAATGCCGGGTGAAAATTGGCCAAGTGCCAGCGGCGTTCGCGTTCAATGCACCAGAAGACGGCGGCGGCAAACAATATTCGTTTTTCGCGTGGCGCGGTAAGTAAAAAGGACGCTTAAAAGTTATATTTCATAAGTTTGCGTGTTACCGACGAGGCAAACTCACAAAAAGCAAAAAATAACACCCCAGCAACGTGCCTGAGAGACATGTTGGTTGCCTAACTTTTTCAAATTTATATTATTTATAATACGCCGCCCATCAAAGCACACATTGTGGAAAATAATAAATTCAACCATATGGTGCCATTTTCATACCCCGCTGCGCCATCTATATACCTAAATTCAAAGCTATTCACACCACGGACAATATCAATCTTGATGCAAGTCACCATTATGTTGTCCCAACTTTCCGATGAGCTCTCAACTATGTAGTGCATAAATAGCTTGTTTGCTTGCGCCCATCTTGACCTATAACATGATGGATCGTACAACGCAAACTAACAAGCCAAGAAGATGATGTTAGCGCACAGATCCATATCTATGAGTATACACAACATTTTAGTCATTCAACGATACCTCATTACCATATTTGACAACTCACACCTTCCAATGATCATCACTCACGTGATTCGTATTTATTTCATCGGCATTTTCAAAGAAAATTAAATTTTTTATCATGAAGCTTGATCTCGCAGGTTAAGTTGAGTTAAAATGTGGGCAATGTAAATTTCGAATTAATTGCCGCCTTGTAAACTTGAGTGTTTTATGCAGCGTGAAGGCAGCTGCAGAGGAATGTGACCGATGCAATAAAAATCTAATTGTGGACTTAACAAGCGCCCCCATGTTAATTAATTAAACTAAACGGGCAGTAATTGTCATCGCATTCAACATAATGTAAATGACCCCTAATAATCTTAATAATTAATCAAAAAAATTAAAAATAAAATTTCATAGTTTTAAAACTAATAATAATTTGGCAGTCATGATGTGATACTAAGGACGTAATGGCGGAAGAGATTAATGGCGACCGCCACCCGCGTGGAAATTGCGCTGCGAGAGAAAACGCCGCATAATTACGCGAAATCTTAATCATAATAAATAAGCTCAGCTAAGTGCTCTTCGTTTCCGGCGCGTTTTGCCCCGGCCACGCCCACTTGCAGTCAGAGGTCCTGCCGGCAGGACTCTTTGCATATAGACATAATTCAAACGGAATGCCCACAAATGTCCCAGAGCCGCCCTCTCCGAAATGACGGGGGCGAGAGCAGAGTGGATAAACTAAATCTACAATGGATGTAAAATAGTGCTGTATCCACCATCAGCTCAGGAGAAAAGCAGGAAATCTAATATCTACGAAACTAATACGGCGAGATTATGACTTGCGCTAAAATATTCCAAGGGTTATTCGTGTCCTAAACATGGTTTATGAGCATGAGCATGAGCACGATCATACTCGTAAAAGGCGAAAAATGTCAAATTGAGGTCTGACCGGAAATAAGATGAGTTCGGTTTATGTACGTTTGCAATTTGCCAACAAAATATAATATTTTATCCTAAAAAGCAAAAAAAATAAGTTTATGTAACCGCAAAACTACAAAGTTGAGTTTATAATGCGCTTAAAATTTTATTCCCGGCGTAGGAAAAACGTAGTTATTACATTTTAAGAATTCCGCGTGTTTTCGAGTGTAATTAACGCGAAAAAGTCATAAATATTAACTTTACCTACATTGCGCAGGGACTTACAAACTTGGTAAGCTCATGTAAATCGCCGCGGAATAGAATTTTAATTAAAAAAGTTATTTCCGAATCAAAACTCAACAAAACCTCAAAAACAAATGAATAAATCAATAGTCCAACTTATTTTTCACTTACAAATATTAATAAAATATTATTGTCGGTAATAAACTGTCGGCCATGTTTGTTTTATGACCCCCAATGCAAATTTTAGTTACATTACTAAAAAGTGTAATAAAAAAAATTGACTTACCGCCTTTCTCTGCGTTGGTAATCGTAACCCAAAAGTCAATAGTCTTCTCCGGTCCCAACTCCTCATAGTCCCACTTGCGTTTGACCCTCACCGCCCCATTGGGCTCCACAGTAACCCATGGATTCTCATCTCTAATCTTGAACGTCTCCCGATCTGTTTCCTTTTCAAGTTGAAAGACATTCCTGCCTTCTGTTTCACCATCCGACTCAGTAAACTCAATTCTCTTTGTGGGTCTCACCGCTCTGGTCACTCTACGTTTAGTACGATGCAATTCAACATTCTCCAATGATTGTAAATCTAAATCCAAGTCGACCTTAGGTGGCACCGGTGGTTTATAATGAAAGATAACCTGTGCGGGTCGTGGTGATGTCCTACTAGGCGTGCGTAGATCATGAGCTTCCACAACCAACTGCAACTCAACCTCCTCAGCAGGTTCCTCAGTCAATAAAAGATCCCCAGTTTGTGGGACAATGACTAAAAAGTTACTGGGTGTTACCAGGCGATAAGCAACCTTATCACCATCAGCATCTGTAGCCTCAACCTTTCCGATTAAAGAAAATCGTTTCCATTGGGTTGTCACGTTGTCCCCATCGATGGAATCATCTCCCACGACAAACCTGTAGACTTTTTGAGTGAATACCGGACTGTTATCGTTTTCATCCTCGACGACAATCACAACATTAGTCACAGCTTTGTTTATTCCAGTGGAATCTGTCGCCTGGATGGTCAGGACATATCTATCCACATCCTCACGATCTAATACTTGTGATGTCACAATGTAAACTCCTGCATCTGCTTCTTTAACTGTGATATTGTTGTTTGTTTCCTCTGTTTTGCTATGTTGTAACTCAAAAGCAAGTCCGGTATTACCACCAATGATGCTATAGGTGATGGGAAGCATGTTGAGACCCGCCGTGGCTGCTAACATAGGAACACCTGATACCCGTTGATGTGCTGGATCATTTTCAACCACTCTGCCTGTGATATCAACACTATCCGTTCGGAAACTCAGCATATTCCGACGATCCAACACATAGAGTTGCAGTGTATGTGTTGTGGTGGTATGATTTGCACTTTCCGCTAGGACAGTGAGATCAATCGGTCGGTTTACCAGCGGACTGAGATCCGAGATGGTCATTATAGATCCGTCCTGCAGCATGGTGAAGAACTGCGAGAATCCGTTCTCCATGAGTTTGTAGTTGAGCGCATGGTCGGCGTCGAATTTGGTTATGCTATAACCGGGATGCGCGTCGTGTGGTATCACCGACACGGACTGTTTTTGACTACTAGTGGTGTTGGAGCCACCGGCGTGGACTGCGCCCAGCAGGGCGACCATCGCCCATGCGATCGCAGCCATTTTTCACCTTTGGAATGAATCCTTCACCGCCACATTCAGAATGACTCTGTAAATACAAAAAATAAACAATTATTTAACACAACCAAACTTGTCGCATGGTTTGGAGACTGGATTTTAAAGTTTGGGAGAAGTTTGAATTAACTTAAGCTGAAACTTGTGAAACTTTCGAGTTTTGCCCGGAAGAGAACTAATTAAATACGCAACTATCTAAGAACTACAATACCTCCATCGAATTAAACCGAGTAACTTTCAAGAATTTACTTAGAGATGATCCAGAATTATTTTGTGCTATTTTTATTAATCAAGAGTGAATAAACAGATTTATTTAGTAATTTCATCGTTTAGTTGTGTATTATTCCGTTGGCCGCGCTTTGGAGAAGATATTGTGATAGACAATTGAATTTCTTTGGTCCAAGAGCGAAACGCTGCTTGAGATGAAGACGCATTGTCTCGGTTCGTCTCCTCGGACGGGATGGCATGCAATGCAATGCGATTATCACGCTTGTCGGATTGCGTTCGCGTTCTCAATTTCTCATGATTACGTTATTGCAGAGCGGCGTTTCGAAGGTGATACGCTTTAATTCGCTGCCAGAGACAGAAACAATAACAAAAAAGCAAAATAGAGTTGTAATAAAACAAGATAAGCTAGGGAATATTATTTTCTAGTAGATAATTCCGGAATAACAAGGAAATTCAATTAAATATTGGATTTGTAAATAAAATAGAATCTGGTTGATTAAATCGATATTTGCATTGACTAATTGTTCAGAAAAAAAATATCAGTACTGAAATCATGTAAATCAGTCATTTTTAGATGTTTTATTTATTTTTAACTAATTTTTGCTTAATTAATCTTTGTTTTCAGCGCCATCTCGGATTTAATTATTTAACTATAACTATGATTAAATCCCTATACCAATTTTCATCCCTTATTTAACAACCTGTAAATCATAATTTTTAATATTTTAATACTTATTCTCTTATTTGAAGCACAGACAAATCGAAAAATTCATAAATAAACAAAATCTGTTCAGCCGTTCTGGAGTTATGAATGGTGTAACTAACAAAACTCAATTTTTCCAATTTTTAATATGTTTTGTTCGTGATTAGAAGCGGAAATGCACGATAAACCATAATTCTAGCGATAATTGCACGAAAATTAGGCGCTTTTGTAGAAACAATGAACCCGCTGGGGATTTGCGTTCGAATAATTACCCTAAATAAAGTTTGCTCGCGCAGATATGCATCGCAATTATGAAATTAGTTTCTGATTTATGCGCTCCAAAACGCTCCAATGGTGATAACCCATGCTTAAATATCGATCCGCAAATATTTACTCAACAAATTTATTCTTTTAATTTATTACCGTTGAAATTAAAATTTTACATTTTTTTGAAATATGTGTTGATATTACGTGACTACTCGTACAACTTGTCTCGATTACCTTAATCACTCAATACACACCTAATTTATGTGCAACACGACGTTTTCCACGTATTATAAATGTGCTGACATAATGCAACACATTATTAGACGAAATACGAGGAAAACATTAAACAAAAAATCGACATTTCGCAATCGTTAATGCCATCGCGCATTACTTCACAAGCCGTCAGCCGAGTATGTAAATGTCCGGCACGCGTTTGCTCACTGAGCTAGCTGATTGTTGTGATTCCTCACTTCGATTTTTCAACTTTTTTCAACTCAACCAATCATTACCACCACCACAGTACAACACACCGATTAAATCTATTTTTAAATGCTGCTAGAGGCGAGTAAAAGTCGAAAGAAGAGAGGAAAATTAATCGTTCATTAGTAATGCATCAATAAGCGGCTTTTATCGGGCTTTTATTAGCTTTGTGCGTCCTCAACGCGATTGATACAAACCGGTTGTTCGGGCTCCGGTTGCGTTTGCGTTTTGTGTGGCTTTAATTGATGACAAATGTTGATTGATATAGAAAGAAAAAAACGCTAAATACTTACTCATCAACACATCACTCAGCAGGAAAAAATATGTTTGATTTAATCTGAGAGAAAAATTAATAGAAAAATAAATAGCAAATAATTAGTCGGGTTTGCACGCAGCAATAACTCATGGAATTTATGCTTCTCACGCGGAGTAATTTGTTGTTAAGCAATTTCATAAGTAGTAAAAGCTCCTATTTAAAATCTTTAACATTCAACCCGACGTTAAGCACGTAATTGCTAAATTCCTGCTGATTATGGCAATTTGCACCACAAGTATGCAACCAAACATGCTGTGGAAAAGTGTACAAATCAACCACGCCGATTGAAAATCTCAGCAGCCAAAGTATTCTACACGTGTGTGCATGTGCAGTGGCGTTTTTGCCGGCAGATGAATGAAAAACGCGCGTGTTATTAATTTATTTATAGCCGACGCCGGTCGCGGCATGCCGGCTGTTCGAATATGGCTCGAAAAGCGTGCAGGCGCGCATCCGAGATGCACACGAAACCAAACTTCAGATACGACTTATATTACCATCAGCCACCAACAGACGCTAACGAAGACTCAGACATAGCCAGACAAACGAGATGAGAGTGAATTCATGCGTGGTTGACTCATACGCATTACGTATACTTTTCGCAGAGAAATGTAACAAAAAATTAAAATTGAAAAATTTTAATTTCATGGTCATGTTCATAACATCCTGCTGTTTATATTGGATTGATTTTATCAAACAATAACGTCCGGTATAAATTCCACACGCGAAAATGGATTTTTGTTCGATATTCACATGAATTCTGGTGAAAAACAGGCCGTAGTACAGTGTGTAAGCGTTGTTCCCGTTTTCGATGGTTTGTTGGCATTCTTTGCATTTGCGGTTGGAAGCCGGCGGCCATGTGAATCTTTTGTATTGCGGACGTTCCGCACACACAAAAAAAAAAACACGATGGATGCCTATTTTCACATGGTTTACGCGCGGTTTTTGTGCGAGTAACCTACAATGCAACTGAATGCAATGTCAAAAATAATAAATTAAATTATCAAAAGAAAAACGTTATTAAATCATTATATCTTAATGTTTTATTATTTTAACGGCAGTTTAAAACATAAACTTGTGTTATCTCCGCGATTATAGTGCTTTAAAGTAGAAATATCCATCTATATCTTAAAAAAACAAAATTGTGTTAGTTACAACACTTATAACTCAAGAACGGTTGGACAAATTTTGATGATCTATGATTTTTGGATTCGTCTTGGTCTCTAATAGCATAATAACTTTTAAAATATCAAAAATTATAACTTAAAGGGTGTTAAATAAGGGATGAAAGTTGGTAAAATTGCGAATTTTATTCAAGAAAATAACACTTAATTTCATTTTTACTAAAAAACTACGCTGACAAAAGCTAGTTATTAATAAATAAATTGATATGTTACTGGAGTCTGAACTTGATGATTTACGACCTGCGCCCAGCATTCCGCCACTTAATGCCTGATTATTCCGTAATTAAAGTACCATTACAATATCAATGTGCTCATAACACAGCAACATATAATGTCACACATGATTCTCGCATAACCGGTGTGCGTTATGCTCGGGTAGGAACAGTGTGCGCACACGTCCGTCACCAGCACCCCAATGGTTATTTATGCGCACATGCCACGAGCGACATGATACGCTACCGAAAAGAAGTCGACACTGAGGCGGAAAAAAAAGTAGTTCCCGGGCACCTGGACGCTACCAAACACCCACTTCCGTTATTTTTACATTATACACACACAAGCGAACGCGAATCAAAACAAAAGCATCGGAAGCAAAGAAAACGACAAAAACACACACACACACAAACGAAGGAAATCAAAATGCATGATTTCAACTCGACGAGGGTTTTGTCGGTTTTGCGTCACGTATAAACACTGGGATTCCAAAAAGAAAGGAACAAGAATCAGAGAATAAGAAGGCGGCGCCCGACCACAATAGACCGAGAATGAGGAAAGTAAACAAAAAGTGTGTACAATATAAATATGTGTGTGTACACGTGCGTAGTTCGACGGATTTGCCTCTGATCTACGAACTATTTTTTCGTTCATTCATAACGTTAACGCGGTCGTTAAACGTTCGAAGAAAATCGGTAGCACCGTTTAACTGAACAATAGAATCGAGAAAAAAAACGGCCAAAGTATAAGTAGGTACCGACTATGAGAATTTTTTATTTAAACGTTTTTCTACCTGAGCATTGAACCAAAAATTTAGGGATATTGATGTCTAGTATACCATCAATAACGAGGAAGTTAAAATTAAAGCAAAATAGAGCATGGCACACGCAAAAGTGTGAAGTAATAATAGAGATAAATCATAATCGGTTGGATACCTGCATAAATAAAAATATATATAAAAAATTGAGTGCGTTAACAAGCTTTCAAGGGTTTTAAACGATGTTAATACCTTTTAGGTACCTGCCCTTTAATTATTTTAAAAATTTATATTTTTGTTCCTCAATTTATAACCGGTAAAACCTTTTTCTTCTTTTTTTTTTTTATTGTAAATTCCACTTGAATCTCAAAAAAAAAAGAAATTTTACTACCAGCATATCTTGCTGCATCTTAATCTCATCTGATATTGCGATATCATCTTGTAATATTGCACAAACAAGCGATGAAAACCATCAGCCACCTCATAACATCAAGAACCCAACCGACCTAAGGGCAAACATGTAAATTGCACCTATATCCACTCAATAAAAGTAATAATATTCGAACACGCGTTGAATTTACATGCCTTTTGAAAACATTTTTCAACTTGTTCGACTGGTTACACATTGCAATCGTCCAATTAAAAGTGCAAAAAGAAACGAAACGCGGTTTCAAGTTCTCTTTGCCTTCGGGTGTGTTGTCCAAGTTCCAAGAGACACCAAGTGAACGTTGGTGCATTAATAATAATAATATATTGTTGAGTATTTTCGTGTTTCGTGGTGAGTGCACTGTTGATGAGAGAAACACTGAGACACCGTTGTGGCATCAAGTGCACATTGAATTTCACATTCTAATATTGCTTGTATTCAAGTTTAGTGGTTTCAAGTTACTTGAAGCAACATTACAACATTCTCCACAATCTACATAACCTCAAATCTACTCATGAAGAGAAAAAAAAATAAAAAATAAATAAAAATGCAGTTAAGTGTAATTTACTGATTTATATACAAACAAATCAAAGAAAAATTAAATATTTTCTTTTAAAACATAAAATTCTAAGTATTTGTATTGAATACAAAGATATTTATCGATTTATTCTTGGAATATCCGCCTACACAAGAGCACAATACCTTCCATTGTAAGTAATATCAAATATTTCAGATATTTATCACGAAAAAGGTAAAGTCTGCCGATAGATTCTCCAAATACAAAATGAATGTTTGATATTATGCAAGAGTAGCACTCGTCTGGGTTGTAGTAGTGTGGTCGCAGAATTGCAAACGCAATAAATTAATCAAATTGTCTGAATGAAGCTATTGTTTAACGTCGGTCCGACTTGCAGCCAGCAGCGCTGCTGCGCGCCGGCATCGTGGATGGATGCACTTTGTGTTCGCTTGTCAGGTCGTTACGTTATGCACGAATACAACCGCGAAGCACGATCTTCATCAGTTCATCACTTGATTTGCAGTTTGCGCCGTGCACAAGAATAACATTTGCTTAGCAGTTGAGAAACTAAACTACCAAGACATTCGCCTGTATTGGTTTTTTGCTCATTATTTTCATTTTAATGAAGATTTAAGTTCAATGTCAGGTCAGGAATCATTCTTTTCGGTATGTTTCTATTACTGACATGCAAGTGCACCAAATTTTTATTTCTTTTTAATCTTTTGAAAGAATACACTGAAGGAAATAACAAATCGTTGCGGGCCACCGCTATTATTATCTCGTTTATAATGGAATCGAAATGATGTCGTTACGAATGATTATGTCGCAAGGCGCGCAAGAAGCACGGAACAAATGTGGTGTGAGCATGAAATGAGTTGCGGTCAGCATAGTTTGATCATCCGATCAACACCCGGATTTACAGGTTGATGTTTTGATGTTTTGACATTGGTAATCATACAGATAATTTATGCTTGGAAATTAAAATGATGAGTTCTATGACAAGTTCGCGTAAAAAATTGTCTGGGACATGCGTAAAATGTGAATAATAAATGAGATTATTTTTCGGGGATTATAAAAGTCAATTTGAATGATATTGAGCTAGAGAATTAAGCTTTACATAAGCCAAGCGCGAAAATTAAATCGAAAGACGTTGAGAGATTGCCTGATTTATTATTAAAAAGGTAGGCGGTGTCCCTTTCATGAATTTCAGCGTTTCCTCAACATCCCTGACTCATCCAAGGGATAATTTATATTGAAGTGAAGAGTGGAAAGTCAAAAACCTCCAAAATATTGATTAAACATTAAATAATTTATTTTTTCTTTAAAAAAATATTATTTTAAGTAAAAACTTGATCAATAATCAATTTAATTAATTAAAGATGATATTTTCGCTGTGTCCCAACGGATTGTTTCATTAATTGACCAAAAAATAATTCCAATTGGATATCATTTTTCTACCACCAGTCTGCGGTGTGTGCATGTGCGCGCGACTATTTCGGGGCCGGGTCTCAGCGCCTAGCCGAAGCCAGACAGTGAGCGCGTACCACGCGCGCACCCCCGTAAAATCAATAACATTATCCTAGCGAGCGCAGCAACACCAACCCCTCAACATTACTAACTCTATGCGATGGAGAAAGACGCACGAATACTGCGCGCGCATACCGTGGTGATGCACTCATACATCCACAAGAACCACCCCAATGTAATATTACAACTTATAACAAATTTCAACGTTTCAAAAACATAACCATTATGTTTTTTAAATAAATAATTATGAAAATATTTTGTTGGGTTATAAATATTATTATTATTGAGGTTATGTCACTTACGGTTTGCACACAAATTGGTATTCCACAGATGAAGGCAACACACAATACACAAATAGTTCACGCGCACTTTTGCATTGTCATTCTCAACCGTAACGTATTCGCAGTTTTTCTCGCACAAGATGATAACTTAAACTCCTTTCTGCTGGTGGTTTGAAACTTCACTGAAAAACACGGAAACGAAGCCGCGCACGCACAGCTCCCGCGTGTTTAGAAAACCTCCCACGAACGTTTACGGCACGCTCGTCACCGCGCGCTCGCTGTCGACTCACTAGATACTAGCCGGTGTTGGATCGGATGCTGCTCGGAGCTGATGCATCCTCTCTTCGCTAGTCCCACTCTTTGAGTGCACGCCGTCGGAATATAAACGGGGAGCGCAGTGTGTCGAAGCGGTATTGTTGGCTCGACTTTCGTTGGACGCTGGCAGCGTGTGCGGTGAGCTCGCGCTCGCCCTAGGCAATGGGGAATGCGTCTACGAGCGGCGTATGAGCTGATAGAAGCACTTTCGAGCGTGCTACGATGCGCGACGTGCGAGGAGTACGAGCGGTGCACACGTTACGGGGCCGGTAGACGTCGATGGGAGCGATTACACGCAGAGGGCGCTGCGGTGGGAACCGACGGGAATAGGCGCGCGCTGCCCCCAAAGATCGGGAGGCGGCGGAAATAACCGACCGTAAGGTAGACTACTCAAAAAACACGAAATGTAATTATATACTAGACATTTAACACGTAAAAATCTTTAAAAACTTTAAAATTTAAAAGAAAACTAAAAATGTTTTAATTAATTATTTCTGAAGGATTTAGTGTATGTTAATCGTACAACCACAAGCAGAAAGCACAAACATGCTGTAAAGACACTCGAATTTAAATTCGGCACGTTTCCTTCTTAATCTCTACAGTAATTAATCCGAAATGGTATAATTCTCATGGTAAAGCAATTAAATTTTCACATTCTCTTTGAAATATGAATTATTATATGTGTATCCTTTTCAGATATCGTTATCATGCCATAATAAACCGCAGTGTGTATAATTAATACCTCTAAAAGGCTTGGCGGAAATTAGTGTTTGACCGCAAGTTCTACCTTTGCAAGATAGTGCAAATTGAAGTCTTAACTTCACCAACAGTATTTGCACGATAGCATTATTTGAGAGTAATCGTTGACGAGATTTCTATTACTGTTAAAGGTCAAACACGATTACAATGCACATGAATTCGAATAAATTCGAATGAATTGGATATTGGAATGAATGAATAATATGAATGCGCAGTGCTTGAAAAGGCAGTGGAGAATTACATCGAATTGGCACAAACCAGCGGGAGATTGGCGCATTATAATTGCCTACCTAATTAATGCACAATTGGTTGCCTACAATACACTCCATTCAAACTAGCTCGTTCATTTTTTAACCTCACATGAAAAGAAAATAATCAATACAAAACAATAAAACCTGCACACAATACGCAAAAATGTATTGGTAAAAAAGATTTTATTTCAAAAAAACTATTTTCGTTGTGTTTTCGGTTTGAAACTCTAGTTACATGTCATTTTTTTTCGCTTGTGACATATGCACGTAAAGTTCACCCTCTGTTCATCATGTTCAGTCGAAAAATGTTTTGTTATCGGATTATATGCGTGTGGGGTGTGTTTTGGGCGTTTGTGTCGCGCTTTTCGCTCGTCCTCTTCTACATTCCGAACAGTCTGGCAACCCGAATCGAATAAATATATAAAATAACGAAATCAATCGCATTCGAACGCGTTCGCCGTCGTACGAGCTTCATACGCATTGTCGTAAACATCGTATTGTTTTATGTGCGATGCGTTCGCCATATTCACAATTCAAAGAAGAGTATTTCCACTTCTACTGAACATTGACAAAAATAACACTAAAATCACATATTCCATTCTAGTATTGCATTTTTAATCGGATTTGCTTGTGCACTTTGGAAAAATAAACAAAAATGCATTAAAAATGTATATTTTTATTGTGGTTTTAAGTGGTATCGCAATTGGCGTTCATTTTTGTATATACAGTATATCACAGAGATGATTTGTTTCGCTGTCTGTTATCCACGAGTTTGGCGGTGATGATTTGTTTTTCGCTCGATTTATCAGCGATAACAAACGACAGCTATCGTTGCAAGCAATAAATATGAATTTGGCGAACATCTGACCAATTTTACGCGAGTTTAACACACCAGACAATGTGTTTAACCATTAAACTATTCATCTTGTTATCTATAAGTACAATACACAATTATATAAACATGTAAAGTTTGACAGTTGACAGAATTGCAAATGTACACAATTGAGGTTATGTTGGTTGTATGACAAATGTGTCTGGTATGATAAACGGGTTGTGGGTTGTGTTTTCGTGTTTTTGTGATGATAGGTCAGTGCGAATAAATCTTGACCATCCATCAGGTTTTATAACATTGTGTTCTGTGTGTTGCCTAACATCTAAAACCGCATCAACACAATTTGTAGCAAAAGAAGTAAATGTAAGTTAAATGTATGATATACACTTATTTAAAACATCCGATGTGGACCAAAGCCACTCAAGTTGTTCATGCATGTGTTATGTGTCCATGTGAGTTGAATTTAAATTCCACACGCGACGATATATCATTCTGCACGCGAGTATGTGTAGTAGCATTGCATACATAACCTAAAAGTACATCTTTTTCGTTTTCTAGACTTTTCTATCTCATTTATATTTGTGCATCGTATGCGAATACGATATAAATAACATAAAACAAAACGGAAGCTTTGCATGCAGTGACATCATCGAATTTTCCCGATCCACCCTTTTTAGTGCGAATGTAATAAGGAATATATGGGTTGATGGGACACTCGAACGCATTGAATATTCATGCATTCATTCGACCTATCCCTATAGCACCAATATGAAGCTATGATGGTTCAATATGGATAATGTGCACATAAGGGTGTAAACGCCACGCACCCCACGAGGGCCACACCGGCTTGAAATACACAGGAATCGCAGTCGTAGTCGTAGTCACACGGGTGACCTTTGGCATCAATCAATAAAGGGTTTGGCTGGTTGGCTGGCGTTCGAGTTGACTCGCATTATTTATGTTTAACGTGTCTGGAAATGCGAAAAGCACTCACATCAACACATTGGCAATTTGTGTTTTTACCCCAGACATATTTGACTAGTATTAGCTTTTGCTACGGCTTCGTTTTAATTGTTTTTTTGTTGTTAAAATGTAATTAATTTTTACTTTTTTGAATGAGAATCGTTATTTTATTTTAAAAAAAGAGAAATGCTAATAATGCACTTTAGCGCCATCTGGGAATTAATTATTTAACTATAATTATGATTGAATCTTTATTTAAATTTTCATTCCTTATTTAACACCCTTTCAAACATAATTTTTGGTATTTTAATAGTTATTCGCCTATTCTGAGGGAAGACAAACCCAAAAAATCATAGATTATTAAATTCTGTCCAGCCGTTCTTGAGTTATAAATGATGTAACTAACACAACTCCTTTTTGTTCGATATTTTTTGTTTGTTTTTGTTTCACGGCTAAATTACTTCATCAATTTTGATGAATTTTGGTATAGAGATAGGTGAGGTTATGGAAAAGGATATAGAATACTTTTTTGTAGCAAAAATTAACTTTGAAAGGATAAAATTAAAGATCAAAGGTAATATTCAAGATCCGCTCAATTAAAAAAACACAAAACAAATGCTTATTTTGCAAAAAAATGCAAATATTTTTCAAATTCGAAACAAAAAATTTCTCTTTCAGTTAAATTAATTTATATTTAAATATATTAAATAAATTACACTTTCACTCCCTTTGTCACAATGTACCATATTAACATAATTGAATAATAGCGTTCTTCATCCCCAATTAGACAACCCTTTACATCCAACTCACCTTTGCAAAGGTAAGTGCATAAATCAACAAACAAAACAAGCTTTTTTAAATCCAATTCAACGCGGACACGATTTATCGCTACAGCGGTCACATGTACGTAAATATAGGGTACTACCCCCCTAGCCAACCCTCGCAGCATGCATTCCGATGGCGCAACAGCGGAAATATTCTAATATCGAACAATAAAACTGGTTCGTTCGGTGCCTGTCTATAAATTTCGCCTAGCAACGTAAACAAAACGGAGAGTCAGGCACGGGTGGAACGGCCTCGTGTCGAAATCAAATTCCATAACGTCAGACGTGCTCACCCTTCACCCTTCACGTAATATACCATCACCTTTCACCACAACACAATCGAAATAATAAAAAATTAAATTTTTGCGTAAAACTTTAAAATTTAAAATTTCTGTGTGAATTTAAGTGCAAATCTTGGAAAAAACTCAAAATGTCTGAAGATTTATTACTTCAAGAAGCTTCCGGAAGGAGAGTAGGACAATCCATGTTGGAAACAGCAATAAAAACAGGAGAACAAAGCCGAATGACGCTGGCAATGACGGTGGCATCGCAGAAATCGGTCAAGTCTTTCAAATCGTTGAAATCGATGAATGCACTACAAGCAATAAAGTCACTGAATGCAATCCAATCAATAAAATCGCTGAATAAAATTAAATCAACCTCAAGAGCTTCAGCGAAATCCTTGCGATCGGACTTTGAAATAAGATCATTGCGGTCGATACCCGATTCGAAGGTATCACTGAAGTCTGACCGTTCGTCGAAGTCATTCAAATCAATGCATTCGTTAAAATCGAAGAAATCGGGAGATTCAACACTGGTGATTCTGGAAGAGCCAATCAGATCTTCAACATCGGAAGAGTCGGCTAATAAGAACAGTTTTGTAGTGCCCATGATCACTTCGTTCATGCCGGAACGGATTCAGCTACGCAAAAGAAAATCGAAAACCATTCCGGTTTATACCAAGTCAGATTCGAGTGTATATCCAAGTTATTCCAACCTGATATTACCTTAGTAAGTATATTTTCTTGTTATAACTAAGGTTATGACATAACCTTTAAAAGTTGAGGTTAAAACATAACCTCAAAATGTATTTACGAGTATACTAAGATTTGCACGCGACTTTGTTTATGTAGCTTTTACTAAAAATGTAATTAAGTTTTATTTTATTATTTTTGGACTTAGAATTTGTCGATTCCATCAAAAAATACGCAAATTTATTTTAAAGAAATGAGAAATGCTGAAAATCTACTTTAAAACTGTCTCAAACAAAAATATACTTGAATTATCTGAATTTCAATGGTTTTAAAAGCACAGTTTGATAACTAAATTAAATTTTGTTAATAAAAATAGATTTTTGATATTTATTGAGAAAAAGAACCGAAATTAACCCACCCAGCCAGTTAATATAATAAAAATATATCAATAAATAGTTTTAGCATCATAAATTCCACTACATTACATGTTACTTGTTTTTTTTATATCCGAGTCGCGTTTTGATTGTTATCGATTAGAATGTGTGCGTTTTACGCACCCGCCCTCAAAGACTGCGTTATCGCCAGGTCACGCGAACGATTTTTTTTTACGTTTTTGTTCGCCGATGGTATTTTTTCGGAATAGACGCTTGTAGTTTTTTGCCAGCGTACGCTTCGCTAAACGAAACGGCGTGACGCTAATTAAGCCGATTTTTAACTGTCATAAACGTCATGCATGCGAGGACCGCGTTCGTGCCGTCGCGACAAAAAGCTCGGCGCGCTCGTGATGTATGTGCTGTTCATCGATCGATTCGCGAAGAACGAAACCTGTGCGAGAATCAAAGCCATAGTTGGTGAAAATCACGAAAAGTCGGAAAAGTCGCACGGTATTTTACTTCACTAAAAAAAAAATCATGTGTGCAGTTCACACGCAGTAGAAGTGAAACCGTTAGAATAGTGCATTGCATTTTACCCAACGATATTTAATTATTTTATATTTTAATCTAATAAAGAATTTTCCAATTTTTCATAATCTGCAATTCTTTGGATTCTAGCGCTTTTAATTTAGAAGATATTCACTATCAAAAAACGTCGAAAAAAAATATCAAGCACTCCAATTTGCAATTTTTTCGTATAAATTAAAATTTCATTTTTTAGATTTCCAATTTAACTATCCTATCTAATAGAGAATTTTCCGTAGATTAAGACGCTGCGTTCAGATCCTAATTATCTCCTTTAGTTTACGAGATATTCGTGATTGAATAAAATGGGCAAACATTGAAAAATTTCACTTTTTAGCACTTTTAGTCGCGTTTTTTGACCTTTTACTGGAAGAAATATATTTATTTTATATTTTTATCTGATAGAGAATTTTCTAGTCTTTCATAATCAGCAATTTGTTGGTTGCTATCGCTTTTAGTGGAAGAGATATTAATTATCGAAAATTGTCGATAAAAATTATCAAGCACCCCGCCTTGGCAATTTTTTCTTAAAAATTAAAATTTCATCTGTCTGATTTCCGTTTTAACTCTCCTATCCTATCTTATAGAGAATAGTCCGTAGATTAAGACGCTGCGATCAGATCCAAATTATCTCTTTTAGTTCACGAGATACTCGCGATTGAATAAAATTGTTAAAAATTGAAAAATGTCACTGTTTAGCACTTTTAGTCGCGTTTTTCGACCTTTTACTGTAGGAAATATAATTATTTTATGTTTTTATCTGATAGAGAATTTTCCAATCTTTCATAATCAGCAATTCGTTGGTTGCTATCTCTTTTAGTTTAAGAGATATTAATTATCGAAAATCTTCGATAAAAATTATCAAGCACCCCCCTTGGCAATTTTTTCTTAAGAAATAAAATTTCATCTCTCAAATTTCCGTTTTAACTATTCTATCTTATAGCGAATAGTCCGTAGATTAAGACGCTGCGATACGATCCTAATTATCTCTTTTAGTTTACGAGATATTCGCAATTGTAAAATTGTATTTTGTTTGATATTCAACATTTCTATAGCTTTAGTGATATTTTTATATAAAATTTCAGTTAATAATATTAATTAATTATTAAAATACACGATTTATAGGTTATATTAGTGACAATATATTGATAATCATAGAGAATCTCTTGGAATCTTGCAGCAAACTTTCCGGCTACATAAAATGTTTGAAATAGTTTCGGAAATAGTTATCCTTCCATCGCGGAGCTAATTTCCCTGGAACTTAGTTAAAACTAACCTAACCTAACTTTAAAATTCATCATAACCTCATTTGTCACAAGTTAATACTCAAAATGAGTAAAACTCGTGTGATTTCTTGAAATACAAGTTATAACTGCAGTGATTTCGTTTTAATTGCCAACTTAATCTTATCGCCTGCACTAGACGCCGTTGCAAATGTTAATCTTATCAGATATTATGTTAATCCATGCTTGCAGTCGAGTGGTGTGCCGTCAACGCTATCAGAACGCCATCAACCAGCATCACGCGCAATTCATCAGCGAGATATGTCTCCACGAACGGCTGCAACCGTATGCATTAGGAGGAGTGAGATTACGACGCGAATTTTGTGATCCTATACTCATCAAAGTCGGCTCTAAAGATATCATTGGTCTTGACTTAGAAGAAGAACGACGATTGGAACATATTTTGAAAACTGATCCTAAAGAATTATAAATTTTAAAGAAAAAAAAATAAAATTTTTGTAAAATAATAGATTATGTAATAAACAAAAGAATAAATTAATAAACAAAGAAAATTTTGTTTATTTGTGTTTTTATCTGCCATTTTGACGTGTGAACAGTGTTAATATTGTCAACATGTTTGCAAACTCATTTCAGAGTGGATTTTTATCAATATTTTACAGTGTGGGTTCTTCCCCGCTTGGAATCTGGGATAAATCAGTAAATTACTCATCAATAAATCTAAAATTACAAAATTTAAATACATTTTTACTGCAGGTGAAAAATGGTCACATTCGGCGTATTGTCGATGAAGAAGTAAAGTCCCTGGTGCTGGAAATTGCCGGTACAAATGTCGCAACAACTTACATTACGTGCCCGATTAAACCACGCGCGTCTCTGGGCATCAAGCTGCCATTCCTCGTCATGGTCGTGAAGAACATGAAGAAGTATTTCACGTTCGAAATCCAAATCGTGGGTGAGTTTTGCGCGCAAACTAAAAACTAAACTGAGACCGATGAAGATGGAGTGTACGATGTCGTATGTGCGTTGTTGTTTTTGCTTTCATTTTGTTTCTCTCCGACGCAGACGACAAAGACATGCGACGCCGCTTTCGGGTCTCCAATTTCCAATCGACAACGAAGGTGCGACCTTTCTGCACGACAATGCCAATCGGATTGAGTTCCGGATGGAATCAGATTCAGTTCAATCTGGCGGACTTTACGCGTCGTGCTTATGGTATGTAAGCATTACATTCTTAACAAAAAAGTAATGAAATCTCGACAAGGCCAACATGTTGATTATTTTTCTTTGGTGTTGTTTTGTAGGGACTGTGTATATGGAGACTATTCGTGTACAGGTGCACGCGAATGTGCGAATTCGTAGAATTTATTTCTCTGATCGATTGTACGCGGAAGAAGAATTGCCGTCGGAGTATAAGTTGTTTATGCCTTTGCAGAAGTCCCAGGAGAAGAGTAAAGGTAAACCGAAAGACAGAGCTAGTAAGGATTCAAAGGATGCGAAGGATCAGAAGAAGTCGGTTACTGGTTCAGCTCAAATGATTCCAAAGGTTCTTGAAGAACCTTCCGGGGCACCTCCTACGCCAGCGGAACCTGCTGATGTTGAGGATGGTGTAGAAGAAAAGGAATTGAGGGCTTCTTCTGTTGCACCAGTTGTTGGTGACCTTCCCACTGTTGAAGAAATTGAAGGAGATGAGGTGGAAGCAGCAGCTGAGATGTTGTCTGCTACTGCTGTTCCGGTAGAGGGTGAGAATGCGGAAGGAGAGAAACCGGCTGAGGAGGTTGAAGGTGGTGAGTTACCAGAAGTAGCTGAAGAAGAAAATGTTGCTGAGCCAGGAGCTGAAGATGAAGCTCCAACAGCAGGTGATGTACCACCTCCAGCTGAAGAAGATGCTGAAGCTGCAGAGGAAGGAGAAATTGCACAGGCGGCTGAGGAAGGTGGCGAATAGATTTCACTATTTTTTATATATACTAAATGAATAAATATTTACCAAATGTGTAATATTAATTATAAAATGTAACATGTAGCGCCATCTAAAAGATTCGTTCAAAAAGTATGTGTTTAAAAATCACAGATGTCGCTTTAGGCTAGAAACTGTCTCGTTTTTGTCTGTCAGAAGTATTACTCGGCAGAATACTTTTGACAGCTACAAAGCTGCATTGAAAACACGGTTTTAAAGCAGTCCAACTAAGAAATATTAAATTATCGCGAAAAGTACACCGTCTACAAACATCTAAACATGGTTGTCGAAGTCGCCGACGTCGAAATGAAGAACGCGGATAGTCCGGCCGCTGCGGACACCACTGAACCGAAGAAAGACGTCGATGCACAGAGCACCATCGAAATCCGTGAACAGGCAAGGCAAATTGAGAAAGCTATCGCCAACAAGGAGAATCGTTTTATTCTGCGTGTCTTGCGAGGTCTGCCTGCTACTCGCCGAAAACTGAACGGTACTGTACTCAGAAATTTGATAACTCAAATCTATCCAGTCACTGAGAGGGATTTACTCTTGCAATTTGTTGAGGAGCCATCAACCTCATCTGAATCTACTGAACAAACCACCAGAGTACGTTCGGCTGTGAAAACGCCAGTCTCTGAAGTAGATGCCTACATTCATCTGCTTATTTTGGTCAGATTAATTGACACAAACAAGTTGGAAACTGCATGGAGATGCACAGACAACTTGATGACCAAAATCAGCACTCAGAACAGGAGGACTCTGGATCACATTGCTGCAAAATGCTATTTTTATCACTCAAGAGTTGCTGAACTCACTAATAAACTGGATTCAATCCGTTCGTTTTTGCACGCTCGCTTGAGAACCGCGACGCTTCGCAACGATTTCGAGGACAAGCGGTTCTAATCAACTGTTTGCTGAGAAACTACCTTCATTACTATCTCTATGACCAATCTGACAAACTGGTTAGCAAGTGTGTATTCCCAGAAACAGCTAGCAACAATGAATGGGCCAGATTCTTATACTATCTTGGCAGAATCAAGGCAGCAAGACTTGAATACAGCTTGGCACACAAACATTTAGTGCAAGCCATGCGCAAAGCACCGCAAAATGCAGCCGTGGGTTTCCGTCAGACAGTACAGAAATTCCTCATCGTTGTGGAACTCCTTCTGGGTGATATCCCCGAGAGGCAAATCTTTAGACAAGCATCAATGCGCAGATCACTTGCGCCTTACTTCCAACTTACTCAGGCGGTACGCATGGGAAATCTTCAACGTTTCGGCGAAGTTTTAGAAAACTTCAGCCCGCAATTCAGACAGGATCACACTTTTACTCTGATCCTGCGTTTGAGACACAACGTCATCAAAACCGCCATCCGCGCAATTGGCTTGTCTTATTCACGAATTTCACCGCAAGATATCGCTAAGAAATTAGGATTAGATTCGGCTGAAGATGCTGAATTTATCGTAGCGAAAGCTATTCGCGATGGTGTTATTGAAGCCACCTTAGATCCAGAGGGTGGATTCATGCGCAGCAAGGAAAGTACCGATATTTATTGCACAAAAGAACCGCAAGCGGCTTTCCATCAACGTATTTCATTCTGTTTGGATTTGCACAATCAAAGTGTGAAGGCAATGAGATACCCGCCGAAAGCATACGGTAAAGAGCTGGAATCTGCCGAAGAACGTCGCGAACGTGAACAGCAGGACCTCGAGCTTGCTAAGGAAATGGCGGAAGAGGACGACGATGGTTTCCCTAGTTTACTACCATGTTTTAAATTTAATCTTGATAAATATCGATGAATACACTAACCTTTTTCATGATTTCAATAATTTGTATCGGTATAATAATAAAAATCACTTATAATTAACTTTTAAAGAGAATGTACGCAGGATTTTGCCCGTTTTTACATCGGCTTTGAGTTTGGCGCTGATCATTTGACATCCGCGCATTCGGGTATCTTCGGTTCTGACAAATTCCAGAAAACAATTCGACAGTAATGAAAATAAATAGTTTGCGCAAATAGTACTCGCGGAAAAAGCTCTTGTAAATAAATTCTAACGATCGAAAGTGGTTTACAGGGGCGTGCGCCGCGTGTGCATTCCGATTTCGTGTGATTTTGATCTCGTGGCGACGTTCGGCTACTTACCGAAGGCGCGTGCAAGATTCACCGTCAACCCGCCAGTGCGCTGCGAGTGCGAGACCCGCGAGACCGAAGCCATCATATGGTATGTTCGATAGTGGATAGGCCAAACCTCCACGGACTTCCAGCGCTGAATTCACGCGTTGTGCTAACTAATTGTGTGTTTCCCCGGTGCGCGCAGCGCGTTCGACGCTCGTGATCTGCTTTCCTCAGCGAATAAACACCAGTCAGTGCCCATACTGTCCAGCATCCGCGCCAGGATCTACAGGACAAAGCCTCATCTGATTTACTAGGACCAAGAATGCCATAAGTCACACCAAACGACCTCATAGAACTGCAATCTGCAGAAGATTAATTTTTGAATTACGCCGCGTGTAATCACCGCAACAAAAAAAGCTTCTTGTGCTTTGTTTGCCTTAAATTCGCAGGATTCGTCTGCGTGCGTGGCCATAGGTCGCGGACGAGAGTGATTGCGATTTGATTTCGCATCGCTGGCGCTTTCAAAGCGTTGTGTTCAGCCGGAAGTTTCGCTGCTGACCTGCCCGCCTTTCCTTCGACGGCGGCGAGCCGCGGCGATTTATGTGCACGCTGACTGTTGACAAGCTCTCGCCGTGCGTCGTGTGTCGCCTGCTAACCATATTTCTGCGTCGCATCTTGTGAGCACCCTCCGTCTTTTTATTACTGGCGCACGTGGAGATGCTCTGAACCGGCCTACTGCGATTTATTCAATGTGCACCAGTCGCGTGCGAAACTAATTGCGTTCTGATGATCTTGAATGGTTTGCATGTAAGTATTAGGTTATGTCACATCAGTTGTTACACTTCCTTTTACTCGTATTCTTCATCAAAGTAATTTTTTCGAAATACAACGTAACTTGTCTTGTAAGTTATATTTATTATATTAAAATGTCTTATTAGACTATTGAAGTCTTATTGGAATGTAAATCAAACGTTTTTATGCAGAATTTGGAATAGCAACATCAATGGTTTCTGGAAATGCTGGCTAAAGAGGATGTTTTATTATGGTTTAAAGACTTAGAAAGTTATAAACGGATAGAAGTGATGTACGAGCTGTTAAACATGTGCATACCGTTCGAAATCCGCTTCCTCGGCACCTGCATCGAGGAGATCGGCAAGCACACCTATCAGGAGCTGCGCGGCCCCAGCATCATCGCCAACGACCCCGAGCGGCTGGCGAAAGATGCAGCGCTGCAGGCGGGGCTGGTCGACGAAGGTGCGCGACACCGCGCAGTCATCTACATGTCGGTGCTGTCGTCGCGCAATTGCCTGTGCGCGAACTGGTATTACAGGACGTTGTTGCGCCCGGCCGAGACGCAGGAGCACGTGGTGAATGTGTTGTCCGGCAAGGAACAGGACTTTAGTAATGTTATCAGTGAATTGTTGTTGTTCTACACGCTCGGCGTATATCATCCGGCGTTCACGTTCAATCAGAAGACACACTTTAAGGACGCGTTGGATGCGCTCAGCAGGCATTGCGCTGCGACAAACGGCCGGAATGCAGCTGTTGCAGCTGCGGCAGTGCCTCCTGAGCCTGTGGGACAAGTTCCAGTTGCACGAAACGTATCTGTATGTTTTTTACAATCAAAATTGTAAAAATTATTATTTTGTTGATTTTTTTAATATTTCAGAGTCATATTGAAGCTAACCAACCTTTGGTGGTGCCGGTAAAGACTCCGTCGGTGGTGATGCCTGTGGAAATCATCCCGGTGCAACCGCATGCAATTCCACAGAGTGTACCGGCAAAGGTACCCAATTTTTTGTTTCCAAGTGGACCTCCAGAGGTTAGTTTTGATTGTTTTGGCGTTTTTCTGATTTATTTATGGTTGTTTTAATAGGCTCGCCCGTTTCCTGCTCAAACAAATAAACATACTCCAAGTGCGCCGCCCAGGCGGGATTGGTCACCGCCTCCAAGCCCTCTGCTGACGCCAATGGCTCCTCTTCTCGACGCGGTCGCCGCACAGGCTCCTTCGCATTTAGACTTAAATTTGGTCCCGGCCGGACCACCACCCATATCATTCGTCCCACCCGTAGAAGTCATACCAAAAAATATTGAAGAAGAGGTGCGGTTATTTAAACTTTTTAGGTTTTAAAATAATATTGATGATAAATATTGGTTTAGAATCATTTCATATCAGAAGAAAAACGTGAACTTCCCTGGCCGCCTAACGAACAGATAGCCAAACAAAATGGCATCCGTTTCATCAAGAATTTCTACCCCTCTACCCACGAGCAACTCGCTAATCTCAAGATTGACCCCGACAAGCCGCCCATGATGCTCGGTTCCAATTCGAACTCTTCCTGCAGTAGTCGAAACCAATCGCCTACGGAAACACCTTCTGTCACTCCGGCCGTTACGCCACACGGCCCCGGCCGAGGTGCCCCGCCGCCGCCTCAACAACAACCACAGCCACCTCAGCCGCAGCCACCGGACGCCAAACCGCGAGTTAATGGTTTACCGCTTCAACCGCTGCGGCTTATCGCGCCGGCGGCTGCCTGCGATCCGCCGCCGTACAGTACAGTGACTACTTTTACGAACTACCAGCCCACTCATCCACCCACCAGGTACTACGCCTACCGGCAACCGTTCCCTACGTTTCCAACCCTGCCGCACACGAACGAGCTATTCTATAACTATCCAACCTCCGTGTATTATTCCAGCCCTGTCCCACCTCCGCCCCGCAATCCCACTTGCTGCAACTGTGGCGGGATGGGCCACACGAGCGTCGATTGCACGTCGCAGAGCGTCGAGGACATCACGCTGACGCCGTACACGCTCGATTTTGAATCGCCGACGGTGCCGGACAATCCGCCGGAGAAATGATACTTATAGGAGATATTAGGTGATTGTAAATGAATTTATATCAATTAATTGACTTCTCCGCGGCGGCGGCGGCGTGTGTTGAGCAGCAGTTCCCCGAGGGTGCGAACGGCCGAATGCGTACCAAAAAAAAAATGTTGTAAGTTGTGTTATCCGGTTGAGCGAATTCACTCAAAGTGAACTAAATCATTCAATTTTGTTTGTTGGTTGTTTTGCGTCGTAATTTTTAGTCTGCGAAAATGGTTTGGAAGCGCGCTGTCTTTTACAATATCGAAAATAATTCCATGAAATGTGCTCACTCAAAATGCACGGATCAATTTACTCAGGTCATTTTCCTAGCCGCGTGATTTATTGAGCGTAAATAATTCATAGTTGATGACTTGGGTAATTATCTCTTGCATATTCAAATGCTCATACGATTAATTATTCCACATCAAGTTTTTTTTCTCTTTCTTTTGACGTTTTTACATGTTAGCAAATCAGGAATTCAAACAAAACGCGCAAACATACGAAAGCAATGTATTTAAATAATTCTTATCAACTAATGTGCATTATACGAAGTTATAAAAAGCCAACACGACGTTTTGTGTGTGTATGTCTAAGTAGCGTCTTCTATAACCGAGGTGTAAAGCAACATATATTCCAAACCAAAAACTAAAACTAATCTATGATAAAATGTAAACAGACAAACGGGACTCTCTTTTGTCGCGAAGAACTTGCGATGCTAATGATAATGTACATACTCGATACTAAACTCTGTCTGTCTGTTTGCTTTCTCCGCTTAGTCACGAACTCAATACTCGATGTAGATACATAACATTGAGCTGCTAACTTTAATACATACAAGAGCAACACGAGCCGGAAGCGAAATGTAAATTGTCAGAACGGTCCAGCGCGTCCAGTGTATTTTTGTGTACTTGTAAAAAAAGTCTAGTTATTGATTGTGTTATTTACATGCATAGACCAGTGTGATGCAGCAGCCGCGGCGAAAGTAAAGCACGAAAACAATTGAGGCGCCAAAAATAGGTTTCTTACTTTGACTAATTTGACTCTAGTCAATATTTATAGTTGTTAATTATAAATTTATTCTTATTTTAAGCATGATTTCGATAAAAAAAACAATAAACTGGAAGGAAGCAGCATATTGTTTGCCATTATCAATAATTTTTTGCACTATTTAAATTATATTGGCAATCAGATAACAAATTAATGTTTTAAATTGTATTTTTAGCGACACTGTAATGAATTAATAGTATTTCAGCCATTTTTTTAAGTGAAAATGAAAATTGTATCCATTTGATGTACTTAGGAACGCTGTAGATGTTTTTTTACACACATTTTTAATTACCATTACCACCATTTACAGAATTTTAAGTAGTTTCTTATTTTATGATAATTTTTATAACCGATCAATCAGTTTTTTAGAGAATCGAAATAAAAGAAGAAAGGGAAAAAGTGCAAAAAATATGGAAAAGAAAATGGCGCCGATGAAGCTCTCGAAAATTTCAATGATTCACTCGTGTGTTTAAATCTGTAAATTCACAAGCAACTCTTTGTTAAACAAGCCACAAGAAAACACGCTCGGAGGGCAAAACTCTTTTTGTAAAGCGAATCGTCTGATTGCTACCGTAACATCGCATGCGGTGATTGTTTATCATTTGTATTTTGACAGATTGTGTACATAAACAAGGTGTAGTTATATTTCATAATAGTTTATAAATATTAATTAAATATTGATATATTTATAACAAATAATACTACAATCAGTATCTGACTGAAAGTTAAACTTAATAAATTTTGAGATTTTCTAACTAAATCAAACGATTTTTCGTAAATTTAGCAGAAAAACTGAGATTTTCATGCGCAGACAAAAATATTAAGTTTTATTAATGACAAAGTCTTTATTTCAGCAAAATGTATCATTTAACTTAATCAAATTCCATTGTAGGTTCTTCTGGCTCATATTCTCCAGCAATACTCTGTGCTAACCAATTACCAATCCTCTCATGTTGTGCTACTTGAGGATCAGTTTCATTCAAAGGTGGAACATGTACATTTTCCCAAATCATAGCCATATCATACTTTCCGAATGTTTTACCAGGCGACAGAAACTTATTCAATTTACTGTTGCGTTCTGCATACATTTTCAAACCATTCTTGTCTGTCTTTTTCTTAAGAATCGCAGTCCTAATCGTCGAATGTTCCTTAAAATGTGTCACGTGTAACTTTTTAGGTGGCGCAGGCACTTCGCCAATGTAATCTCTCAAATTTAACCCTGCATCTTTATCTGTTTGCTCATCACCGCCTATATTATGTTTAAAAACATCTCCGATTGAATTTGTTGTGTAAATAACCGAATCATTCGTTGCTAATCCTGCAGTTGACAATTTAAACCGTGCCTCTAGATTTTCATTGATTATAAATTCGTCTTCGAACTTTAATTTGTTGAAAGTGGTTGAAATATCGCGGATTTTGAATGGTAAATGATTGTAACTAGCAACATGCACACAAATTGTTTCATTAAAACTAGAAACCAACACGTATTCTTCTCTGTTGTTACTTCCAGGCATTGTTTTGATAATAATTGGTGAATTATCCATTAAATGCGTCCATTTTTTCACCACTTTCATTTCGCGTAAATCACATTTATAGACATTGTGTTTAGATGCTATATAAATGTAATTTTCATTCAAGGAACTGACACAAATCGCGCATAATTCATTACATGTGAAACATCCCTGTTTGAATGCTATTTTCTTCTCGTTTTCTTTACTAGAACTTCGAAAATCTAACAGGGTGAGATCAGCGCGACTCATGAATAGTAAACAATTAGAAACTGTTGCTATTTGTGCTAAATCACCGGATTGATTTGATTCGTCTTTGAATCTACGTTTGTAGCTCACTTTCTCCGCTTCAAGATCATGAATGTCGACTTCATAACATACATTAGCGCTAATCAATCTGTTTTGGTCAAAAAGTGTAACATCAATATATGGAGATGTTTTCGTTTTAACTTGGTAGAGTATTTTTGTGGAAATTTCGGAAGATCTAGAGGATTTCATGTTTAAGTAAACAAGTGCAATCCTTTTCTTATTCCTTACTGTTAGGAATGTATGATTGCTAACGTTGTATCCGCGAATGTTATAAATTGGAGCTTCTAGGTCAAAATCAAGTGATTGTTGAGTCGATTGAGTTGGATTCATAGAAACTGTAAGAAATATGTTGATTTAATTTGTTTTTGTATGATTTTTGATGTGAATTAACACTTACCAATATTATTTCCCTGTGCATAGATCAATAATGATTTGTTTTGTATTTCTACAGCCTCTAAACAGCCTCCTGTATAAAACCAGTCATAATGTCCATCAAAATATGGATTTTTGTCACCATGAATAGCCAAATCAGCTATATAATGTGGCAAATTTACAATATCCTTATTTTGTTTCCTGATATTTGTCCAATTACAGTGTTTCTTATCCTTTTTATAGAAGTGTCTGTAAGTTTCAAGTTTTCTTTTGTATTCAGTTTTCTCTCTGACTAGTTCTAAACATGGATCAATTTTATTTTCCCAGGAAAATGGATAGGAAATTGGGTATGGTAAACTAATATGTAGATCTGTTTTCTTAAGAGATAAGTCTGCTTGATTGTGATCTTCATCTGTTAACTAAATAAAAAAATTATTATTTGATGTTAACATTTAAAAATATTGATGCACATACCTTTTCTTTGAGTGAACTTGAAAATACTGAGATATAATTGTTGTGTTTCAAAGTTGTGGTATAAAGTTGCACATTTTGAGCATGAATTATATTTAATGTCTTGTGTTGTGAATCTAAATGTTCCATTTTATGTTGTTCTCTTTAAACACTAACTTTTTAAACTGAAAAACTGCTCACATGTTTCGTTTGATATTCACAGGTTATAGGAAACCATAACCTGAAGATTTGTTTTTGTTCCATTCGTATTGAGGTGAAATCACCGGGAAAGGAGTTTTACTCAAATTTAATTAATTAAAAAGAGCATGATGAGTGCTTCTCCATCATTAGAACGTATTCAAACATTAGATGCAATTGAAAAAGAGATTGTAACATGTCTACACAGTGCAGGTAATCATGAATACCATAAAAACATTATCAAATTATTATTTCTTCAACATTTTCATAGGACAAGTCTTTGTGGAATTAAGCAAGGAGAAATCCAGCATGAAACAAGCTGAAAATCACACTCAAACATTCCTGAAATCATTGAATGTGGTGGAAACAAAACTGACTGAACAAATCAATTACTTGACACAAGTTTCCACTGGGCAGCCACATGAAGGATCTGGATATGCCTCACAGAAGGTCCTGCAAATGGCATGGCATAGATTAGAACATGCCAGGTCAAGAGTTAATGAATTAGAAAGACTGAAAGTTAAGCATATTCAAGGAGGTTTGTCATCAAAATCAATCATGATTTTGCATAATTTTTATGTTTTTGTGTATTGTTTTTAAAGGTACAGGTGGTAATAATGGAAATGCTGGAGCATTAACCGGGCCTGGGGGTGCAGGAGGCTCATCTACATCGAATTAATTAAGAGTATTTATAAAAAACAAGTTTTTATTTGTGTCATAATCATTTACTTCTTGAATTGTAATGACATCCGCCAGATGTCGCTCTTGTATGTAAGTTAGAGGTTATTGCATCTGATGTTTATTGTTTATTCAACAAAATTTATACCCGTCAAGATTTATTAAAATGGTCGAATTAAAATCTGAGCAACAGGCATTTCTTGCTGAATGCGAGCAAGAGTTTGCAAACAGATACACGATGGAAGACGAAGAATTCAAAGCACTCTATGATTCAGAAATACCGCCTCCGCCAGTGATGAGCAACTGGTATCCCAGAAATAAACGAAATCAAGGAGGCAGAGGAGGCCGCTATCGCGATTTTCGTGACCGGCGACAAGACAACCGATATAACTACCGGCATGAGTATAACAGAAACTATGATAGGTCAGGCTATGAAGACAACTACAGGGGCAGAAATGATCATTTGTGGAATAATCAGGAGCAGGATGAGGTCAGGGATGGAGAAAACAGAGATTATTCAAGGAACAGACCTAGATATAATGATTAAGAGATACTTTTGCAACTATTATATGATTAGAATTAAACTTTTTTAATAATATTATATTTTGTGAATAAAAACTGACAATTTGACATTCACTGAAATGCAAACTCAAACAATTGGCATGTTTTATTGTTGTAATCGTTCAAAACTGTCAAAATTTAAAGTTTATTGTACTCTTCAATCTATAGAAGTTCATACAAAGCAGAAAATTTGTTTCCTCTTCTATAATTTGCATTTCTCATGTTTTTTTCTGTGCAAATGTCAACTGCACTACTAAAATTTCAGTAGATGGCAGGATTGCAACAGAATACAGACAAGAAAATCAATATTTCCTGTGAATCCCCTCCCATTTGTTTAGGTATTTACTTCGTTGTAGAACTGAAAATCAGCATCCAATTTTTGCACTCGGTGTAAAAATTCACATGCAGGCATAATGGGCGGCTATATGGAGACGATCAATTACGTTCTGTACGACAATCCCATCTCGCAAGGATGCATCGGCGCTACAAAACAAATCCTGAAGGTAAATTACGTATCTTGATTAGAAATTCATTTAGAGGTTACATGCGCCGAAGTGCATAGATTCTATAACGAAAGTTATTTATATTTCAGCCGATCGCCAACCTTGCGAATGGAAACAGTGCACCACAGATACAAATTATTAAAGAAACTGAACCACTGTGGATGATGGCGAAGGAACCTGGACCATTTGTGAGAATTGCCGGTCTTTCCGGGGCGCTTGCCGTCTCTTTGGCCGCTTATGGAGCGCACAAAAAGTATCCAAAGGATCAGATCAATGAGTTAAAAGCTGTTGCTGATTCCGCCAACAAAATGCATTTCTTTCATTCATTAGCCCTTCTTGCTGTGCCATTATGTCGAAATCCGCGCGCTGTAAGTCATATAAGCTTTGTTTTTAATACAAATTTATTAATAAATTGAATATTTTCTGTTTTAGACTGGGGACTCCTGATTACAGGCACAGTATTATTCAGTGGGCCATGTTATTACTATGCATTCACAGGCGAGAACAAATTTGGCAAGCTTGCACCAATTGGTGGCACCATTTTGATTCTAGGCTGGTTATCAATGGTATTTTAGGTTTGAGTACCCTTGATGTGATGATATTAGTTGTTTCTTATAATATAGGTGAATATGAATATTTGTGAAAATGCAATGGTGCATATTATGGATGGAATGTTTCTACCTTTTGTTGTTATAAGCTTAAGTTGTGTCTGAACCTCAGTATGGAGCAAGGAGCGTTTTATGTCCAAAGAAAATACTGAATAAAGATTGAAATTCTCATAAATGTAAAGCACTTGTACGCGAGTTTGATGTTTCGTATATTTTCATAATTAAACCATTAATTTTAATTCGTTATTTCGGTGTAATTTGTGGGCGCGCAAGGAGAAAAATGAGCCCGAGACGCGAAACGCAGTTTTTGTTTCGCGCACGTTGCGACGAAGTGGAGCGTTTAGTCGAACGGTGTCTGTGAATCAGCAATCGGGCTCCACTAACGTCACGAGGAGTAAAGAAGCACATGCTGGCACGATGCAGTACCTTGGATGTATACCAATGGTTGATTCCTAATTAGCGCAACTGTTTTTGACTTCATTCGGCAATTAATGCTAAATGCTTGTTAACACAATATTTGCTGTTTTGTCCGCGGGATTTGAATTTAAATCGTTTTATGATAAACATAGATGTATATTACAGTTAGGAACAAGTTGAGTTCATTAAAAGTGAAGAGAAAATCAAAAATTACACAAAATTGTCTAGAAATTTGGTTTCTGAAGTAGAACATACGTTGTTTCATGAAATTTTCTTAACAGACAGCAATATAAATTAAAAAAATGTAGATTTAATTTAAAATTTGGGGAAAAGAAAAAATTTACAACAGTAGAATGTGGGTAAAAAGCAGAAGTTGGAGGTTTTGGTTATTCGCTGCCCATAACTCGACCCGTGGACCCAAAAAGAGAAAAAAAAAGGTATTTGGAGACTTTTGACTGGACTACTGAACGACTTAGGCAAGACTGAGCGCGGTGCGCACTGCGCGGTGCCCTTTTATATCTGCGGGCGACCCGCAAAAAGTGGTGGGGGTACGCCGACAGAAATTAGATATTTCCTTGCGCGCGAAGGTGCCAAATGCAAATACTTGAGAAAACAGGTATTTAGGGTGGGGGACTTTAAGTCACATGACTCGTAATTTTGCCCACGGTCACTTTTACTATTGTAAACTAAATGGCAAATGGTCCTTAGTAAAATATATCATTAATTAAAGAAGCAATAATTTGCTCTGTGAACAAGTTAACAATAAAACCTAATGATATCAATTAATTTCCAGATAATATCTTGTTCAATTCCTATCTTAACGTCTTAATTTTCACTTTTTTTATTTCCAACTAAAGTAAACAAATAATGCTAATCTCTTCAATCAGCATTTTAATGGTGCTTAGTCCATACACTCGATTGAAATAATTTAAAATCAGAATCAGTGCAATTTCCAAAATTAGAAACCGCGAAAATTGTAACGCTCTTGAAGGAATAAAAACAAACGTGCGTGGCGATGTGTGCAGCAGACGCGCATCGCGACACACCGTCACGAGTGTATCATCGCGCGGTGAATAGCGACACTATTAAAATTAATCAACATATGCAACGATTAAGAATAAAATATAGAATGAAGTAGTAAAAACAACTCACGCTATGACAAGACCAAGCAGGCATGGCTAAACTAAACACTCAAAGTGTATAATATATGTATACATAGACGTATTTCAAATTGTTTCGAAAGTACTTAGTTTAAGAAGTAAAAATAAAACTTAAAAGCGTGCGCGCGACGAATGACAAGCGCGGCGCGTCGGAAAGTTTTCCACTTAGTTGAGCGCCACGAATGTGCGCCCACTGGCCGAAAAGCTGCAAGTGAAGCGCGCTTTTCGCACTTTGCACACATTGTGCATTGGCAGGTGCCATATCGACTGTGCAATTAGATTATTGGCTTGAGTAATTGCGGTTTGTTACTTTTATTAGGCGTGAAATCGGTATTATTTTATGTAATTATTCTAAAAGCCATTAAAATCAATTTAAATTCCTTAAAAAATTGATTTATTTTGAATGTACTCACAATCACATCTTGTTTAGTTGTTTTTTTGAGTTATCTAACTTTAGACGCCATTTTGTATCCAAAATAACATCAATTTTATCGTCTGTGAAGCTGTAAAATCATTTTACAGTCAATTTTGACTCAAAATTCAATAAAATCAACAAAATCAATTAAAAATTCATTAAAAAGTCTTTTTTTTTAAATTTGCATACAATCTCATCATTATATTGTGTTATCTAATTGTAGACGCCATTTTATATCCAAAATAACCTCAATTTTGACTTCTTTAAAGTTGCAATCCATTTTGCAGTCAATTTTCTTTCAAAATTGAATTTTAATTATCAAAATATCGTGGAAAAGTTCTTTTTGCATCTCTGACCTACTTTTTTCACGCTAAAAAGTGCGAAAGATCCACTTAAAAATAAAATCAATCATTATTTCACACTTGCTATAATATCCTCGGCGTTATACCTTCGCATTTCTGTTTGCGTACCCACAATAATTACTAGACTACGAAAATTAATCGTTTACGGCCTAACGCTACCGGATTCTTGCCTGCCACCGGCGAAGCCAATGGCAAGCAAAATATTCAATTGTAGATATATGAATATAGGTGGAGAATCTAACAATATGGTCAAGCACGCGGCCGCGCAAGAGTTGGTTGTACCTGCGATGGTTGTTACGTTCGCTCATTCGATAATTCACTAATTAACCTTAATTTTATAGTTGCTAATTAATTAGTTATCTGTTGGTTCCGAGTAACGCGGCAGTAGCAGCATTTTGCATTCGCCATTTGCATTTTCATTATGTATTTTATAATGTTTATAAAGCCTAGAATTAATTTATAACGCAGCATAATCGATTGATCAAATTTCATTCGCAGCGTGTTAAGTTAGTTATGAATTTTATTCATTTTTATAACTTGTGATGATTTGTTGTGTTAAAATTCAAAGTATATGTTAAACATGTCAAGTTTTTTCGTCTTCTTTTGTTTTCATGTTCTTTATGCTCAAGTGTTCATGTACTAATTAACTTTTGGAATATTTTTGGTGCATGCTCAGTGTAATGTTTATTAAATTTTAAGAGGTTTGTTACGGTTTTGTTACAAATTAGGAACAAACATGAAATTTATACAAAGTTTATTAAGAAATGTTGGATTTTCATTGATTAATTAAAGATTTTGACATAAAATTACTAATTTTAAGGCTAATTGTTTATAATCATTAAGATTTTATCAATAATTTACAATAAAACAGCAGAAAACATAAAGAAACATTGATTTTTCATTGGAAAATCATTAAATTGTCAATCAACATGTTTTATCAATAATATTCATGAAATACAAGTGCGCAAGGCACAAAAATTACTTCTATTTGTTAAATATTAAGTGCAACCGAGTAATTATTTATATTTTTTGCATTTTTCTATAATTTACTCCAAAAACAGCCAAAAACGCAAAAAACATTAATTTTTCATTAGTAAACCAATAAATTGTCAATCAACAGTATTTTACCAATAATAATGAAGAAATTCAAGGGTGCAAGACATCAAAATCACTTCTGACTGCTAATTGTTAAGTGCAACAAGTTAATTACAATATTTATTTGTATTTTGTCAATAATTTACTCTCAAAACAACAAAAAAACATTAATTTTGCATTAATTAATCAATAAATTGTCAACCAACAATATTTTATCAATAATACTGAAGAAAATACAAATTCCCAAAACTCATACAATAAAATTAAAGCAATAAATTAATTTATGATGATATTATTTATGACTAAAAATATTTTCACCAAAAATCTAAATAATTTTCCACTTTCTTAGTCACCACATTCAAATTTCGCCCAGAAAACCGTAAATAACTAAAGTCCACTAAGTCTTTCTAATTAATGCAAAAAATTGAATTTTGTTCCGGCCACTGATATGCCTCTATAAGGCAAAAAAGCGAAACATATCCTAGCCACCTCCAACCATTGGGCACCCGCCGGAGTTAATGCGGATATAAAAGCCGACCGGCCGCCGACGAAGAGCCAGTTTAGTGGTAGAAGCGTAACGCACCGCAAACACCAATTAATCCAATCGTGAGCTAATTAATCCGCACGTGCAACACACCGTTCGGTTCGTTAAAACAATCTATATACATCGAGTGTGCAATCCAACGCAACGCAGCACGCAGAATCACTCACAAGTTCACTCGGCAGTTTAATTCCTCAACTAACGGTAAGCAAAAAGCAAAAAGCAAAGAAGTAAAATCAATGGGTGAGACTAATGTATGTATCCCCTCGGATGGGTTAATATTGCGTTATTTCACGCATGGATAAATAAAATTTAAAATAAAATATAAAAACGAGAAAAAAAAAAGAAAAAATTGTGATTGAATTTTTTATTTATTGATTTAGAAAATGTGTGACGATGATCTGGCTGCGTTGGTTGTCGACAATGGCTCCGGCATGTGCAAAGCAGGCTTCGCTGGTGATGATGCACCACGTGCGGTGTTCCCCAGCATTGTGGGACGTCCTCGTTACCAGGTACCTTCAAAAACCAAAAAATCACAAAAACAAAATTTTTAACTAAAATAATAATTTTGGTAACCAGGGCATCATGGTCGGCATGGGCCAGAAAGATTCCTACGTGGGAGACGAAGCGCAAACAAAACGTGGTGTTCTCACCGTGAAATACCCCATTGAACATGGTATCGTGAGCAACTGGGACGACATGGAGAAGATTTGGCACCACACTTTCTACAATGAGCTACGTGTCGCCCCTGAGGAACATCCGGTGCTTCTAACTGAAGCTCCACTCAATCCTAAGGTCAATCGTGAAAAGATGACGCAGATTATGTTTGAAACTTTCGGTTCTCCTGCCATGTACGTCGCAATTCAAGCGGTGTTGTCTCTGTATGCCAGTGGTAGGACAACTGGTATCGTTATGGATTCAGGGGATGGTGTTTCACATACCGTACCCATTTATGAAGGTGTGTATTGATGTAGGTTTTTGTATAAATTAAAAGTTTAATCACCGTTCTGCTTGGTTTAGGCTACGCATTACCTCACGCGATTCTCCGTCTGGACCTCGCCGGGCGTGACCTTACTGATTACCTGATGAAGATCCTTACCGAGCGCGGCTACAGCTTCACCACCACTGCTGAGCGTGAAATCATTCGCGATCTCAAAGAGAAGATTTGTTTCGTTGCGTTGGATTACGAGCATGAGTTAGCGCAGTCGCAGACTACCAACTGCCACGAAAAGTCTTACGAGTTGCCTGATGGGCAGATTATTACGATTGGTAATGAGCGTTTCCGTTGTCCGGAAGCCATGTTCCAGCCGTCGTTGTTGGGAATGGAAACACCTGGTATCCATGAGACCACTTATAATTCTATTATGCGTTGTGATGTGGATATTAGGAAGGATCTGTATGCGAATACTGTGCTTTCGGGTGGTAGTACCATGTTCCCGGAATTGCTGATAGGATTCAAAAGGAAATGGCGTCCCTTGCACCATCGACCATGAAGATTAAGATTATAGCCCCGCCAGAGAGGAAATATTCTGTATGGATTGGTGGTTCTATCTTGGCCAGCTTGACTACCTTCCAGCAAATGTGGATCTCAAAGCAAGAGTACGAGGAGTCTGGACCCGTGATTGTTCATCGCAAGTGCTTCTGATTGCGTTGTTGTAGTCAGGCCATGAGAGGGCGCTCAGATGCATGTCATGTTTTATTTATCGTTTTATAATTTTGTACTTGATTATGCTTTACATTTAATAAAGTTTTTATGAATTTAGTTAAGTGAGTTTTTGAATCTTTTATTCAAAATGGTAGGCAACTCAATAGGCTTTAATTTATTAAACACAGATGGCGCTACCATGCAGAAACTAAGTGTTTTATCAAGAAATGTTTTATTATCCAAACAATTTATTAATCAAATCTAATTCAAGTTCCAATGCGAAGGAATAAAACTACAATTTACACTCAAATTATTATTTTTAAACAATCTATCCAAGTAATTGTCGAGTATATTATATTTTTCTTATTGGAATTGAATGCAATGATTAAAATTTAAAGATTTATGCATTAATTCATACGCGGAACAAAGTGCAACTATAACAAAAGGAATAAAATAGTTCAAGTCTTCGCTAGACAGAAATAAATACATCGCAGCCGTTTTATCCGTGATCAAAGCGCGAAGCCGACGCGTTGTGTGCGAAGCACAACAAAACAATTCGCCTGCGCGTTGTTTCCGGGTGATGGACGCGCTGGTGCGGCCCGGTCGGTGCGCGTTGCTGGAATAAAAAACGCTCCGATGCGCGGTATACGACGAATTCATAAACATCAATCGGACGCGTTTGTAAACAACTTTGTCGTGTTCGGGGTGTAGTGAAATTCGTCTGTTTACGAAAACCGCTGATTAGAAACGATCGCTTTATGCTGATTGTGCGTTGTTTGTTAGTGGCGTGTACATAACCTTAAACTTGACGTTTGTGTACAAGCAGCGGGTGAAGAACCAGTTGGATTTCGATGAGATACCAGTGAATATTCATGAGAGGTGGAAGAGTGGCAAGTGTTTTTTAAACAGGAATAACAACAGTTATTTATTAATGTTGAAATATTAATTACAAGACAGAAGGTAACATTTCTTGTGCGAAAATTATAGAAACAGGTAAATGCTCAGGCGCAGTGCGTGAAAAGTGATTTGTTTGTTGACAACGCTCATTTGTTAAATGTTTTACTTCTTGTGACATTTGTTTACGCTGAGAGTTGACGCCGCGGAAGAAACAATGACCAAAACGTAGTTTTGGACCGTCGAGAGTGCACGAAGATGTCCGATAATTTCATTGACAAAAATAACGCGAATTTAACGAGACACGCAGCGCAGTTGGCTGAGTTCGGCGGCAAGCGGCTGACCGAGTTGTTGCCGGACGGCGGCATCGCGCGAGTGAGCGATGATGAAATTCAGATCCAGTGCGATCACATGTACGCGACGCATCGCGAGCACCGCGGCGAACCGAACGGTCTGCGACCAGCAGCAGCGGCAATAGGCGGCGGCGGCGGGGGCGCTGGGGCCGACGACGGCGCGCGCGACGCAACGACGCAACCACCTTGCCAACAGCAGGAGCAGGAGCAGCGGCCGAGCGCCGAAAGTGAGGTTAACTTCATCAAAGACTTCTTGTTGATCCATCTCGATCTCATCCAGCAGCAGAACGACGAGATTGTCAACAAGGACAACACTATCTTCTTGCTACAGCAGGAAAATCAACAGGTACATTCATACATCAACATGATAGTTGATAAAATGTTGAAAAGTTATACGTTTTCGCGCGTAATTTATAACAATCTTTAGTAAACAATGAAAAACTAACCTCAAATTGTAAAACAGGTGCTTTTTTTACAATTTTTACAATAAATTAATTATTTTAACTTTTTTATAGTTACGTGAAGAGAAAAAACTCTTAGAATCGCAATTAGCGGCGCGTGTGGCGGCTGCTAATGAACAAGCAGCAGTAGTCGACGCGAATTCAGCGCTAAACGAAGATATGATCATTGATTCGACGACAATTGTAGTTGAACAAATTGAGCAAGCACCCATTTTGCGGCCAGCGTCCAATTTGCCGGTGGCTGTCGGAATACCCGAGGAAGAATCCATCGAAACCAGCGAGCACATTGAGGTAGCGCCCGCTGAACCCGACCAGCAGGAATTGCAGTTGCCGATTGTGGCAACCATCAAAGCGGAGCTGCCCGAGTCGGACTGCAACGATTATTCAAACAGCAGCTATACAATTCATTCGAGCGGCAGCGACCAGATGAAAAATCTCAAGATGAGCATACGACGCAAGCGGTTGTGCTCCAATACGTCGACATTGAGCAACAATGGCTCGACATCCGCATCGGAAGAGAAGAAACTTTTTCGGCATCAGACGCGCAAGAAACGCAAGCGGGTAAAAAACGATGAAGTACTCACACATCCTGAAGAGTTTATTACTCAAGCGGGCGAACATGTGATGGATATAGTTAGGCGGCAGGAATTGGCTGAAGAGGTTGCCAAGGCTGCAAACAGCGCAAGTTTAGAGGTAAAACTGTTTGTTTTCTAATAAGATTTGATTCAAAATTTATGTTTTCTTATTGGATTTCAGGTTCCCAGATGGCGTGGTAAAGTTTACACCAGTTGTTACTCACTAGAGGGCACTGAGAACCTCGACGATGAAGTTTTCTTACGGCGGCATTCGCGAATGGAGAACGATGAGAAACGACGAAAGCGCTGGGATTTTCAACGAATACGCGAACAACGCGTGATTGAAAAGCTCAAACAGCGGCAGGATAAAATAGACTCGAATAACAAGTCGTCACCGATCGAACCGGAACCAGAGCCGATTTCGTCTCTCTGGCCGTCGATGGAAGACGTTAAATTTATAGAAATCTGTGAGGATCTTCCAGTGGCAGCTTTCGGTGCGCCTGTGCCGAAAATACAACCTAGGTGAGTTCATATAAATTAATTAAAATTAAATAATTATGAAAATAATAATTTATTTCTTTTTATAGTGAATTCAGTCTTCCTTGGCTGTCAAACTTAAGTTTAAAAAAACCAATGCGACGGTCGGGGACGATTACGAGACGAAGACGGCGAAGTAGTAAGCGATAGGTTAGATTTTAAGTAAATTCGGAGCGTGAATGAGAGAAAAATGATAAAGTACCGCTGTAAAATGTCAAAACTTAGCAATCTCTAACGATACAAATAGTTTTTTGTTTATTTAAACAATATAAAGTATGATCAATTTAATTTATAGCGGATTTGATATGTATATTTTAGAGTTTATTAATTTATCGAGGCAAAATTGCGTCTTTTTTGTATTAGTAACTTGCAGCTTTATTGAGCCAATAGAATTTCAATACTTAACACGTTAGTTACAAACAAAAAGATGTATGATAGCATTCAATCTCAATGTATTACATTACTCTATAAGTTGTAGGCTACGACGACCCTTAAATGTATTGCAATCATAGTTTATTTTTTATGTTTGAATTAGATTTCGGCAATATGTTAATACATGATGAATTGCTGGTAAGATTTTTGGAAGGAAGCGAGGAGTTACGTCTCTTTTTTTAACTAGTCAAGTATATTTTTCGAAAGTTTTTATGGTTGGTCTCAGTATTATATGCATTCCGATTATGATTCAGTAATTAATTAATTACAAGTAATTTTCATTAAGATATTGTCGAACATGATCATTGTTTCTATTTTTTATTTGTCAAGAGTTGATTTTATTTCGGTAGTGAGTTTATTAATTTTAAGAAACTTGTGATTATATATTTTAAGTGTATTGAACAAATAAGACAACACATAAGCTGGAATCTACTCATGTTCCACGTGTAGAGATTATTGTACATAATACGGAAAGTGTTTAGAATCTGTAAGTTTTTATGGAAGGCTTAGTATCTATTAACGGCGGCAGCTTAGGATGAAGTTTTAGCAGAGACAATTAACAATTGGTACATCGAATTCATTAAAAACAAAATGGTACATGTATTGCATTGCTGGGACTTCCATAAAAGTACACAAATGATAAATAAAACATGACATGCATATTTTATTGAAGTTTTTTCTGCAATAACGCTTAAAAATTAACTCACGACCTAAATAATTCTCATTTGTATTGTTGTAGCGCCATCTGTCGGATGAATTATGAATTATAATTGATTGGTTTGGAACAAATGCAAATTAACAAAGTCCAAACATTTTAATCGGTTTTAATTACTTCTATTGAACCAATTCAACACAATGATCTATTTGTTTGTTTTAATTTATATGTTTTTATGTTTTGTTTAAGAGGTTCGGTGGTGTTCGCGTGTCCCGTTCTAGTTTTGTTTTTAGCGGTCCTTGGTTTGCACTGCGCAAGTCGCGCACAGTTCACGTAGTTCACGAGCACGAGTCGCAGGAATCGCGCAGTGAATACGTGCGCGATACTCGACGGTGCCGTGCAGTGCCGTGTGCGCGAGTTCTCTATTCGCAATCACGAAATATCGCGTAACATTGAACGTCGCCGTCACAAACAGAACCTAGCAATAAAATCAATCACCACCGCTGTGTACAATGATCAAATAAAAGTGCAACGATTTTATTCAACGGCTACAACTATTATTGATACGCGGATAATTCTATGAGGTAAACAGTTAAATGTTGATACACGTTTTTTGCATAAGTGAAGGATATGTGTCTGAATCGCACGAACTCAAATTTAGTTCAGGTTTTTCATTAATTATTTGAAAACTAAACGTCACACAATATTGATTTTTATGTGTTTGATTCGTAGTTTAATGTTGGTTGTACACATAAAACAAAATGAACTTGAGACGTTTAGTTATAAACAGTATAAACAAAGTTTCGTAAAGTTAATGGAAAAGTACCGGTTTTCTTTAAAAGTCTCATTTAAATGTTTGTTTTGAGTTAGTTTTTACTTAATTTGGAGTGAAATTAAATACAGAATATGACCCTAAAAGAATTAATTTTGTAGATTGTTTTATTTTAAAGTTATCAATTAATTAATAGTATAAAACTTGTGTTTTTATACTTTAGACACCTGTTCTTCACTAGCATATATTGACATAGAATAACCTCAACCGCTCACATGTTTATTTTATTTTGCGCTCTGTGTAATGATTTTCCTATTATTTTCATTTTGGTTTATAACCATAAACCTTGAAACACGGGTGACACGTGCCGAAAGTATGTGCGAAAGAATTTAATAAAGTTAAATCAATAAAATGCCATGACCCAAGAATGAATATAAGATATTCAACTGCATTGAACTTGATTAAAACACTTAGCAATAAATTAAAATCAACAAGTTCACACGTATCTACACTCTATCACACATACATTCCACGATTAAATGTGAATGAATAAATTACTCATTTTAAAATTTGAGTAATTATGAGATACTTTATCATTTTAGCATGCAAGTAATGTTTAATAAATGTTTGATAATTACATTTAACTTTTCATTGCAATTACAGACACTGTCTGTACATTAGTATTTAATCCGTTTATGAATAGGGAAAGTAAATCCTTTTGGTATGTTCTTGTCGCGGTAATAATCATAAAATGTGACGCAAATGACAATGCGTTTGTTCCATGATAAATTTAAGTTATCGTAATTTCAGTAAGTGGAAAATGTCTAGTAGGCATTCATAATTTTTTTTTTGTTAGGTATTTTTGCCTACTACGACAATCACGCCACAGGAAATCCACAGATTATTATTATTATTATTATTGATTTAAATTAAAAGGTGTTTGTTGAGGTCAAAGTATTGAACTTTGCTTTGAACGCTTCACCATAACTCTTTTCATATGTGTTTAACGAATTGTGGAATGTGTTATGTATTTACCGTTAGAAATCTTTTTTTTTTCACATTATAATTGTTTATTTTGTCGAATCATAACATTTATAGATTGGCAATATGTATTTTATTTGATATTTTATTAGTAATTCAATATCTACGATGTTTACTATAAAAACCATAGCGTGTGTAGCGATAAATTGTTATGTAAATGTCGATGCACGTTACGATTGGAAAACTTTATTTCTGCAAGTAATGACGACATTATTACAATGTAAATTTATTTATTACGTGATTTAATCGGTGCCAGATTAAGGAAAATGTCTATCTGAACGGCTCAAGGTCCTTAATTTAAAAAGAAGTAGGATTATATTAGTTAGACAGTGAATCTTATCTGTTTTTACACGAAAATAATTTTCGGATTGTCTGGAAATCTGAAGTGCCAACTTCCATAAATTTACCTAAAAATAAACCGAAATAATATTGAACTTTTCATCATAAAGTGCGAGTGTTTATTACATGTTTTTCGGTAATATTTCTAAAAATACATTTGCAATACACTTGCAATATTTATTTATATCTTTAAAATGTACTTGATATAACAATCTTGGTTACGTTTACTTTGATTTGTTTTCTCGTATGTGGCAAACACGTGCGTTTAAATGACAACACCCAGTATTCTCGTATTTACCAAAAGATATAATAACCACAGGTTCGTTTATCAGTACGTTTTTCACAGCTTAGTGTAAATACAACACACATATTGTTAGCTAACTTCTAACAGGATGGCAATATACTAACGTATATTTCATAATATTGCAATATGAAAGTGAAATTTATGTAGAACTGTTGCAGATGACATGAATTTATTCAAATTCTGAGTTCAAAGTATCGCCTGGAAAAATTTCGGCAGCATCATGAGGTCACTAAATCTCTTCGGTGTGTGGGACTATGTGGTTCTATGCATTGTCCTTCTCATATCATCCGGAATTGGGATTTATTACAGATTTACTGGAGGTAAACAGAAGACATTAAGAGTAAGTTGTATTAAATTCAATATATATTCTAACATACTTGAGATTAATTTGTTTTCGGTTGTAGGAGTATTTATTGGCCGATAAAAGCATGCCTATAATGCCTGTGGCATTTTCATTAATGGCTTCCTTCATGTCCGCGATCACCCTTCTTGGAGTATCCAGTGAGAACTACACGTTTGGTTTTCAATTCATTGTAATCAACATATCCTATGGTATCTTTACTCCTGTTGCGGCATATTTGTACTTGCCGGTGTTTTTTCGGTTACAAGCTACTAGCGCTTATGAGGTATGCCATTATGAATACATTTTTAATGTTATAAAAATCAGCAGTTTTATTTTAGTACTTAGAAAAACGTTTTGGCCAAACAGCGAGGCTAGCAGCTTCTTTGGCATATACCATGCAGATGGTATTCTATATGGGGGTGGTTTTATATGCTCCTGCGTTAGCTCTAGAGGCTATTACAGGCATTAGTCAGTTAGCGGCTATTTTATCAGTTGGTAAGAGTCAATTTTTATGATTTGATTTAAAGTTTGAAAGTTGATTTTAATTTATTATGTTTTAGGGTTGGTGTGTACGTTTTATTCAACCATTGGAGGCATGAAAGCAGTTCTCATGACGGACGTATTTCAATCATTGCTCATGTTTGCTGCCGTCTTCAGCATTATCATTTGTGCAGGCATCGAACAAGGTGGACTTTCTGGAGTTTGGGAGGTTGCGTCACGTTACGGACGAACGGATATGCTCAAGTAATTATTAAGCCCTAATATCTCATAAACCATCTAATTGAAACATTCAACGTTAAGTTAGGTAATAAGTGTGAACTTGAATCTTGAACAAAAGAATCAAAGAGTTTCTTTATGTTACTAGGCGTGAAAGTGAATATTATAGTTTAAGGTCATGCGTGTTATGCAACACATTATGTAATATTTGTATTTCGTGGCAGTTTTTAACATGTTTTGATTTATTTCAGTTTTAATCCCGATCCAACCGAAAGGCACTCGTGGTTTACACTTATACTTGGCGGTGGCATAACATTTTTATCCCTGTACGCTGTTAATCAAACCCAGGTGCAGCGATATCTTACCGTCAAAGATTTGAAAGCAGCTCAACGTGCCCTCTGGTTAAACTGGCCCATTCTCACTGCTTTAAGTTTAAGCACTTCGTTTGCGGGTTTGTCCATTTACTCTAGATATGCCAAATGTGATCCTGTTTGTGCCGGAGAGATTAATATGTCAGATCAGGTATGTTTTTTATTAAATTTCTTCCTTCTACATGTTTTACTATAATTATATTCTATTTCAATAGTTGATGCCTTACTATGTGGTGGAAATGATGGGCCACATCCCTGGTTTGTCTGGATTGTTTGTTGCTGGCATCTTTAGTGCATCATTATCTTCAGTTTCTGCTTCATTGAATAGTTTAGCTGCCGTTACGATTGAAGATTATTACAAGGTAACTCTACACATAACACACATAAAATGTACATATTCTTAAATGCATTTTTAAAATATTTTAGCCATTGTATAGATATTTTCGTGGCGTTGAACTCTCCGATCGTTTGGCAAATATCAGTTCGAAAATAATAGCACTCACCTTCGGATTTGCAAGTTTAGGAGTGGCATTCCTAGCGCAATATTTAGAAGGTGTGCTGCAAGCATCACTAACCATTTTTGGGGTAGTTGGAGGACCACTTTTGGGATTTTTTACATTGGGAATGTTTACAACGACGGCAAATGAACGCGGTGCCATTACTGGTCTCGTCAGTGGTTTGTCACTCGCACTGTGGATGGCTTTTGGCGGGCCAAAACCACCACTCAAGAAACTGCCAGTATCAATAGAAGGCTGTGATTATTTATTTAATAATAAAACTGTTTGTTCTCCTATTAATACACGACCAGATAGGTGAGTAACTGTTAAAATTTAGGCGTTGCTTTATTAATCGTCATCTAATTTTCAATTTTAGCGAATATTTCTGGTTATATCGAGTGTCCTACTTATACAACGGTGTGTTCGGATTAATTGCCACATGCGTGGTTGGTTACGTTATATCTTGGTTGATTGACAAGATCGCCTGCACCGAAAAACGACCCATGAATCCAAACCTATTTATACCCCCTTTAGCGAGGAGGTTGGAAAAGCAATGGGAGACTCCATTGAAGATGAACGAGGTATACTTTACGACAGGATATTAATTTGTGCGTTTAATAGCATAAAATATATGTTTGTAGATGAAGTCATACGAAGAGTAGCCAAAAACCTTTCGATACCGATCATCATCATATAAATTCATAATGATTGAATTTACTGAGACCAAAGTTAATCAGTATAAAGAGAATTGAAGTGTACTTCAGTACTGTATAGACTGCTGCAAAGTCTTCCAATTGTTGTAAAATGTTGTTAGTTAAGTGGTAAGTGTTAGGCATATCTGATGTTATTAAATTACAATTTAGCCTAAAATGTATGTTGTGTTTGGAGGAAAATATAGCTTTTTACTTGTTCTATTTTGTACTTTTTGGTATATAGTTTTAATAAAGAATGTTGAAAGACAGGGTCAAACTTTGTTGAAGCGCGCCGACTGCGTCGTTGCGTCCGTTCCGACGGCTATCGTCGAGAGAAACAAAATCGCGATCTAGAGTACGTCTGATATATACGAATTAACAATTGAACGTAGAATGTATTTGTATATTCAGTTACTTGCTTGCTTGTATGTTGAACGCATGTTCACTCCGTAACAACAGGTTATGGGCCCAGTGAATTAAGTCTGGGTTGGGACTCCATAACAACAGGTTATGGGCACAGTGAATTAAGTCTGGGTTGGGACTCCATAACAACAAACTTTTATGTTTAAAATATTTTCTGCTGAAAGACAGGGACAAACATTTTTGTTTAAAATCTTTTCTGTTGAAAGGCAGGATCGAACTTTTTGTTTAAAATATTTTATAATTATTGATTATAATAGCCTAAATTGTAGGACTAGTATCTGTCGCATTCATAGATGGCACTAGGGTGCACTAATAATCTTAAAATCGAGTTATATGGCTTATTTTTATATTTGTCGTCAAACGTGGGCACGACAATAGTTTTGTATGCAATGCTGTTATCTGCGATTCGGTGTAAACAACGTTTTTACCACATGTGTCCCGCGTGCTGTCTCTTAGCGCCGCATCAACTTGCTGCATGCAGCAAAGTCTAGTTTAGTTTAGTGCCGTCGACGCGCGCCGTCTTTGCTCACCTCTTGCTTTCTTATCGTATATTGTCCCGTCGTTGTTTACGCAGTTTCGGCATTCACTTATATCGTTTATTTGGACTTTATTATTCTAAAATTATGTATATTACAAGTCACGTGATAGTGGATTTGATAACATTCTTCACTCGGCGCTGTGCTTGGTGTCGGTTGCTAAATTAATCGGATATTTATCGCCCCCATGTTGATTCTCATCATTAAGAAAGATCCATCAGGCTCGTGTGAGTATTTTTAACTTAACAGCACAGATTCACAGGTTCTGTGCTGATTGTTAATTATAACATAATTTAATTGTATGAAATATTTTTGTTTTAATTTATGTTTTCATTTAGTTACTGGTAAGTTTATAATTCAATTATATTTATCGGTCAAATTTACATTTACTGTTTTAAACAAGTTTTCTATTTATTACGTACTCCCTACCAGCAGGACCAATGAGAGGGAGTCAACGGGGATAAATTCCCCGGGGCCCGGCTTATCGCTCGTAAATCGCCAACACAAAAATTAGGAAAATATTAACGATTGCCGGGGCCCGCGGATTTTCCCTTGGGTCCGCTGGCTCTCGACGGCCCTGTCTATATACTCGTATATCTCCTGGCATTGAAATTTATTGCAAGAAAATTCTGTAACGCGAGTTATATTGAAAGTTGTATGGGTGCACCGTAGTACTCGGTGCGCTAGGAATTGTAGTTTCTTTTGCATAACACGCGAACGTGGTGTCACAATAAGTTAGGAATAATTTTTCCAGATGCGGAATTTAATTCTGTATCTTCCTGAATTGGAATTTATTGCGAGAAAATTCCGTAACGCGAGTTATATTGAAAGTTGTGTGTGTGCGCCGTATTACTTGTTGCGCTAGGAATTGTAGTTTTTTTAGCATAACACGCGAACGCGGTGTCACAATAAGTTCGGAATAATTTTCCCAGATGCAGAATGTAATTCTGTATCTTCCTGAATTGGAAATTATTGCGAGAAAATTCCGTGACGCAAGTTATATGGATAGTTGTGTTGTTCACTGTATTACTTGTTGCGCTAGGAATTGTAGTTTTTTTAGTATAACACGCGAACGCGGTGTCAAAATTAGTTCCAAATAATTTCCCCGCTGCATAATTTAATTCTGTATCTCCTTGTATCGAAAGTTATTGCGCGAAAATTCCGTAACGCGAGTTATATTGAAAGTTGTGTGTGTGCGCCGTAGTACTCGTTGCGCTAGGAATTGTAGTTTTTTTAGTATAACACGCGAACGCGGTGTCACAATTAGTTCGGAATAATTTTTCCAGATGCAAAATTTAATTCTGTATCTCCATGTATCGAAAGTTATTGCGAGAAAATTCTGTAACGCGAGTTATGTTGATAGTTGTGTGTGAGCGCCGTATTACTTGTTGCGCTAGGAATTGTAGTGTTTTTGTTATAACACGCGAACGCGGGGTCACAATTAATTCTGTATAATTTTTTCAGGTGCAGAATTTAATTCTATATCTCCTTGTATTGAATTTTATTGCGAGAAAATTCAGTAACGCAAGTAATATTGAAAGTTGTGTGTGTGCACCGTAGTACTCGTTGCGCTAGAAATTGTAGTTTTTTAGCATAACACGCGAACGCGGTGCCATATTAGTTCGGAATAATTTTTTCAGGTGCAGAATTTAATTCTATATCTCCTTGTATTGAATTTTATTGCGAGAAAATTCCGTAACGCGAGTTATATTGATTGTTGTGTGTGTGCGTTGTAGTACTCGTCGCGCTAGGAATTGTGGTTTTCAGCATAACACGCGAACGCGGTGTCACAATAAGTTCGAAATAATTTACTCAGATGCCTAATTTAATTCTGTATCTCCTGTATCGAAAGTTGTTGCGAGAAAATTCAGTAACGCAATTAATATTGAAAGTTGTGTGTGTGCACCGTAGTACTCGTTGCGCTAGAAATTGTAGTTTTTAGCATAACACGCGAACGCGGTGCCATAATTAGTTCGGAATAATTTTTCCGGATGCAGAATTTAATTCTGTATCTCTCCGTATTGAAAGTTATTGCGAGAAAATTCCGTAACGCAAGTTATATGGATAGTTGTGTGTGTGCACTGTAGTACTCGTTGCGCTAGGAATTGTAGTTTTTTAGTATAACACACGAACGCGGTGTCAAAATTAGTTCGAAATAATTTCCTCAGATGCCTAATTTAATTCTGTATCTCCTGTATCGAAAGTTATTGCAAGAAAATTCCGTAACGCAAGTAATATTGAAAGTTGTGTGTGTGCACCGTAGTACTCGTTGCGCAAGGAAATGCGAGAAATGTTTTTATTTTTTCGGGTTTACACGCGATCTAGGCGGCCATTGATATTGTCGAGAGGGTGGATCGGATTGTAATTTGTATTTTTATTTCTCTTTCTTTTTATTGTGGAGACGTATTCTCCGATTGCTATTACATTTTATGGTATACGTTCTATATGCTTTTATCCGATTCTTGTATAGCTTACATTTAGTGCCATTGATTCTAATTATTGGGAAATGACGAGTGAGCGATTAACACTCATTTCACACTCACACAAGCACACACATGCACGTATCTGATAGAGAATTTTCCAATCTTTCATAATCAGCAATTAGTTGGCAGCTATCACTTTTAATTTAAGAGATATTAATTTTTGAAAATTGTCGAAAAAAGTATCAATCACCCCCTTGGCAATTATTTCTTAAGAATGAAAATTTCATCTCTCAGATTTCCCTTTTAACTATCCTATCTGATAGAGAGTAGTCCATAGATTAAGACGCTGCGATCAGATCCTGTTTATCTCTTTTAGTTTACGAGATATTCGCGATTGAATAAAATTGACAAAAATTGAAAAATGTCACTTTTAGCACTTTTTGTCGCGTTTTTCGACCTTTTACTGTAGGAAATATAATTATTTTTAATCTTTATATGATGAGAATTTTCCAATCTTTCATAATCAACCATTAGTTGGTAGCTATCACTTTTAGTTTAAGAGATATTAATTTTTGAAAATTGTCGAAAAAAGTATCAAGCACCCCCTTGGCAATTTTAACTTAAGATTGAAAATTTCATCTCTCAGATTTCCCTATTAACTATCCTATCTGATAGAGAGTAGTCCATAGATTAAGACGCTGCGATCAGATCCTGTTTATCTCTTTTAGTTTACGAGATATTCGCGATTGATTAAAATTGGCAAAAATTGAAAAATGTCACTTTTAGCACTTTTAGTCGCGTTTATCGACCTTTACTGTTGGAAATTGTTGAAGCACGCCGACTGCGATCGTAGCATCCGTTCCGACGGCTGTCGTCAAGAGAAACAAAGAGTGCGGGGATAGTCGCAATCAAGAGTGCGAGGATAGTCACGATCAAGAGTGCGTATGAAATATACAAATTAACAATTGAACATAGAATGTATTTGTATATTCAGTTACTTATTTGCTTGTACGTTGAACGCATGTTCTAATAAACCATGTTGTTATGGAGTGGTTTATTAGAACATGCGTTCAACGTATACAAATTTGTTGCCTACTCTGTTGAAGCGCGCCGACTGCGATCGTAGCATCCGTTCCGACGGCTGTCGTCAAGAGAAACAAAAGAGTGCGGGGATAGTCGCAATCAAGAGTGCGAGGATAGTCACGATCAAGAGTGCGTATGAAATATACAAATTAACAATTGAACGTAGAATGTATTTGTATATTCAGTTACTTATTTGCTTGTACGTTGAACGCATGTTCTAATAAACCATGTTGTTATGGAGTGGTTTATTAGAACATGCGTTCAACGTATACAAATTTGGTTGCCTACTCTGTTGAAGCGCGCCGACTGCGATCGTAGCATCCGTTCCGACGGCTGTCGTCAAGAGAAACAAAAGAGTGCGGGGATAGTCGCAATCAAGAGTGCGAGGATAGTCACGATCAAGAGTCGGTCTGATATATACGAATTAACAATTGAACGTAGAATGTATTTGTATATTCAGTTACTTATTTGCTTGTACGTTGAACGCATGTTCTAATAAACCATGTTGTTATGGAGTGGTTTATTAGAACATGCGTTCAACGTATACAAATTTGGTTGCCTACTCTGTTGAAGCGCGCCGACTGCGATCGTAGCATCCGTTCCGACGGCTGTCGTCAAGAGAAACAAAAGAGTGCGGGGATAGTCGCAATCAAGAGTGCGAGGATAGTCACGATCAAGAGTCGGTCTGATATATACGAATTAACAATTGAACGTAGAATGTATTTGTATATTCAGTTACTTACTTGCTTGTACGTTGAACGCATCTTCTAATAAACCACTCCGTAACAACAGAAATATAATTATTTTATATTTTTATCTGATAAAGAATTTTCCAATCTTTCATAATCAACCATTAGTTGGTAGCTATCACTTTTAGTTTAAGAGATATTAATTTTTGAAAATCGTCGAAAAAAAGTATCGGGGTGCTTGATTTAAAAAAAGTATCATGCACCCCCCCTTGGCAATTTTTTTTAAGAATGAAAATTTCATCTCTCAGATTTCCCTTAACTTAACTTAACTATCCTTAACTATCTATCTAACTCTCCTTTAACTATCCTTTTAACTATATTTACTGATAGAGAATAGTTTGTAGATTAAGACGCTGCATTACGAGATATTCGCGATTGAATAAAATGGGCAAAAATTGATAAATGTCACTTTTTATCTGATAGAGAATTTTCCAATTTTTCATAATCAGCAATTCGTGGGTTGCTATCGCTTTTAGTTTAAGTGATATTAATAGTCGGCTAATTTTGTGGCTTTGAGTGTTTAGCGGGTGAACGCCATGTCGTAGGACAACCGTTCTTTCACCAAATTATAAATATTCAAATTCTTTATAATTTTCATGTATAACTTGTGGGTTTAACCCTTTGGAAACCTACAAAAATGCCCTTTCTGTGTTTTTCTGTCGGCTAGTTTTGTGGTTTTTACTATTTAGCTGGTGAACACCATGTCGTAGGATCACCGTTTTTTCACCAAATTATAGATATTCAATTTCTTTATAATTTTCATGTATAATTTGTGAGTTTATCCCTCGGGAAATCTACGAAAATGCCATTTTTGTGTCTGTCGGTCGGCTAATTTTTTGGTTTTTAGTGTTTAGCGGGCGAACGCCATGTCGAAGGACAACCGTTCTTTCACTAAATTATAGATAATATATTTAAATTATTAATAGTTCTCATATATAATTTGTGGGTTTATTCCTCGGGAAACCTAAATAAATGCCCTTTTTATGTTTTTTGGTCTGCTAATTTTATGATTTTTAGTATTTAGCTCTGGAACGCCATGTCGTGGGACAACCGTTTTTTCACCAAATTATAGATACTTAAAGTCTTTTTGATTTTCATGTATTATATGTGGGTTTATTCCCCGGGAAACCTACAAAAATGCTCTTTTTGTCTTTTTTGGTGTTTTTGTGGTTTTTAGTGTTTAGCGGGCAAACACCATGTCATAGGACAACCGTTCTTTCACCAAATTATAGGTATTTAAATTATTTTTAATTTTCATACATAATTTGTGGGTTTATCCTTCGGGAAACCTATGAAAATGTCATTTTTGTGTTTTTTGGTCGTCGAATTTTTTGGTTTTTAGTGTTTAGCGGGCGTACGCCATGTCGTAGGACGACCGTTCTTTTAGCAAATAATAGATATTTAAATTCTTTATAATTCTCATATATAAATTGTAGATTTAGCCCTCGGGAAGCCTACAAAAATGCTTTTTTTGTGTTTTTTGGTCTTCTAGTTTTGTGTTTTTTTTTTGTTTTAGCCAGCGAACGCTATGTCGTGGGGCTGCCGTTCTTGCACTAAATTGTACGGTACCTTGAATGGGAGTCACTTCTACCGCTACCTTCGCATGGTGCCCTAAATGGAAGTCTTTATGGATCCTGTAAGAATAATTAATTTAATTTATGTATATTTATATTTCATTTGCATAAATATTTTCTAGTTGGATGAAGCATTGGCTATTCCTGAGATGCCCAATACGGCGCAAGTGGAGAGGTTCCGTGGTACTGGTAGAGTACGTATTGAGGATGATGTTTTGATTACTGAAGATGGATGTGTCAACTGGACTGAAATACCAAGAATGTATGTTATATTTTGGCAACTTATAATATTTTATATTTTACAATTCTGTTATTCATTCTGGTTTATAGTGTCTAAGAAATTGAAGATTGGATTGCCGGTGATGATGATATATAATATATATGTCGGATTCGAATACGAACAAGGACGCCATCTAGACATAAGAAGATGAATCAGCTAATGGAGGTGCAGTCTTGCATCGATGTGGTCTGGGTGTGCGTCTCGAGTAAGAGCGACAAGCGCAGAAGGGATTCGAAGGTTTCGAGGGAAAGGCGAATCATGTATGAAGACACTCACTCTGAGAGCACCGTTGAGCGCGCACCCAGAACTCATCCCGTTACGCCGATTCAATTCGTATTGTTTAAGCTAAGACATACTTTGTTTTGTAATAAATGGCGCGTAATTTAAATTGGAATGTTGTTAATGTAGTTGAGGAGGAGGTGTATCCGACATCAGAAGTGGGATCTGGATCCAATTTGCGATCTAATTTGCGATCTAGTGAAAAGTGCGATAGAGAAAGTGACAATGATAAAGAAAAGTGGAGTCAGTTATTACAAGTGCAAAATAACAATATGCGTAATCTTATTGAAGCGTTGATAAAACCCCAGGTGACCGAACAATTTAATTTGTCGGAATTTAATCCGGATGATCGTGATGCTGACGCGCGTGCTTGGTGTTCCATGGCAGAGTTATGTATTGGTGACAAGAATTTGACGGGTGCCAAACTAATTATGACGTTAAGCAGAGCAATGAAGGGTGCAGCATCATCGTGGTTGTCGCAGATATCCTACCCGGATATTTCGTGGGAAGATTTTAAATCACAGTTTGCCGCACGATTTATTCAGTCAGAGACGATGACTGCGTCTCTAATAAATCTACAGAATGGAAGGCCACGAGGTGATGAAAATTTGAGTACTTACGCGGGGCGACTTTTCAATTCGCTGATGACTAACTGGAAAGATGCGTCCATCGAGCAAATCGCTACTGCGACAATATTAACGCATATTGCTCAATTCGATAATCGAGTACAGCGTATGTCATTTACCAACGAAATTCAGACGAGACAGCAATTACAAAAGGAGTTACAAGCACTCTCTTTTAAACGACCAGCCGCAGTAGACAATGCTTCGCAACGCCCGGAGAAGATGCGAAGAACTTCATCATTCCAACCCAAGATGACGAAGTGTTTCAACTGCAATAAATTTGGACATCGACAGGCTGACTGCCCCGAGAAGCGGAGACAAGACCAGAAATTCACCCCTCAGCGGTCCACATCGGGAGCGTCAAACAGCGGGAGATGCTTCAAATGCGGTGAGACCGGACACTTCGCCAACCGCTGCAGGAAGAATGAGGGTTCTGTCAAGACGGTCAACGTCTGTGCAGTTGATTTACCTGGAGGTACTTTTAAGCATAACGGTGAGTCGTAACCCTTTCATTTGGATTCTGGAGAGAATGGAGAGAATTAGTAAAAGAAAGTATTGCACGAAATTTCTGCGAGAAAGTAAATTCGTTTGAACAAATATTATGTCAAGTTGAAATTCAAAGTCACTATGCTGAGATCTTGTTTCACGTCTTGCCTGATTTGTATTTGATTCATGACGTATTGCTGGGTCGTGAGATTTTGAATCAAAATTTTACTGCGATAATAACTAAAAGTTCATTTCAACTTAAAAAAGAGCTTTTGAAAAACATCCACTCGTGTGTTCCAGACAACACAACTTTTAAATTAGAGAATCTAGACACACATATTTCAGCTTGTCAAAAAGCAAAACTCGAAAGCGTGATAAGTAGTTTCTCTGAATACTTTGTGACCAAAATGCCATTAACGCGCGTAAACACGGGCACACTTGAGATCAGACTTATAGACTCAACAAAAACAGTACAAAGACGCCCTTATCGTCTCTCATTCGAAGAAAGAGAATCAATGCGTGGGAAAGTCAAAGAACTTTTAGACGCAAGTCTAGACGGTTATGGAGGAATTTTAATGCAGATAAAGGAACAGAAGAAACATGTAGTTGCGTATTATAGCAAGCGAACAACACCGACAGAATTTAAGTACCATTCGTATGAATTAGAGACACTTGCGATAGTGAACGCCATTAAACATTTTCGTCAATATCTAAGCGGACGCAAATTTACAATTTTTACGGATTGTAATTCCATAAAAGCTGCACAAAAGAAATGTGATTTAACACCACGAGTACATCGATGGTGGGCGTATTTGCAAGCGTTTGAATTTAACATAGAGTATAGGAGGGAAAGCGAATGGCACATGTAGATTTTCTATCACGTAACCACCTAGGCGAAAATAAAAACCCACCGCGCATGGAAAATAGAAAAGAACTGAAAATTGTTAACTTAGCAGAACTACAAGACAATTGGCTACTTGCAGAACAGTTGAAAGATGAAGAGATTTCGAAATTAAAATTAGACTTAGCGAATAACACATTAGACGAAAACATAGCGGCGACATACGAGTTAAGATCGGGCATTCTTCACCGACATATCCAAAGAAACGGAAAGTCTCTATGCCTACCAATAATTCCTCACTCGATGAAATGGTCGGTCATAAATAATATTCATGAGTCAATAATGCATTTAGGATCGGATAAGACGCTCGAAAAGATTTACGAACACTATTGGTTTCAAGGAATGTCACGACTTGTCAAGCGTTTTGTAGATAACTGCATCACTTGTAAACTCAGTAAACCACATTCAGGCAAAATTCAGGCAGAATTACACCCTATTCCAAAGACTACTACCCCATGGAATACGATACATATTGACGCAACAGGCAAGCTAAGTGGAAAGAATGATACCAAAGAATATGTTTTCGTATTAATAGACTCTTTCACAAAATTTGTTTTTCTACATCACTCAAAAAATATCAATAGTCACAGCTGTATCGACGCATTAAATAAGGCTGTCTGTTTGTTTGGTGCCCCAACAAGAGTAATAGCCGACCAAGGTAGATGTTTTACCAGTAATGATTTTAAAACTTATTGTAATTCAAAAAAATATTAACCTACATCTTATTGCGACGGGAGCATCGCGCGCAAACGGCCAAGTGGAAAGAGTGATGAGCGTTTTAAAAGCAATGTTAACGGCAATCGAAATTACACCAGATAAGTCATGGCAGAATGAGTTAGGAAATATTCAATTAGCAATTAATTGCACAATTAATAAAACTACAAAGACGTCCCCCTTAGAACTCTTAATAGGGAAAGTAGCGAGACCGTTGGCAATGATGGTAGATAACGCGGAACATGACGTAGATCTTAATTTAATTCGACAAGTGGCAATTGATCGAATTCAAAAATCGGCAAAGTACGAGAAGGCAAGATTTGACAAGACAAAAGCAAAAATAAAGCGTTTCTCATTAGGAGAATTTGTGCTCATACAAAATGAGGAGCGTAATCAAACTAAGCTAGAAGCCAAGTATAAAGGGCCTTATGAAATAATAGAGGTATTAGAAAATGATAGATACAAATTAAAGTCGTTAAGTTCGAAGAGAACGTACAAGTACGCTCACGATCGACTAAGAAAGATGCCGGACGCACAAGTCGCGGCAGAGGAATTGTTAGGCAATACTACGTAGGAGTATTGGAAGGGTTGCACGGGGAGTGTAATAGCTGTAGTACTTGTAACGGCATGTAAGTTTTTCTCGAGTATGAGACGGTTTGTAGTTTGATGGATAATTATAATGTGTACCATTTATGACTAAATTGTTTTTTCTTTTTGTTTAGTTGTGTAACGTGTGACCTAATCATTGGAGTGATTAGTTGTGAACTGCCAACCATTGTAGTGGTTGAGTAGGTTGCCAACCATTGGTGTGGTTGTGTAACATGAGACCTAATCATTGGTGTGATTAGTTGTGAACTGCCAACCATTGTAGTGGTTGAGTAGGTTGCCAACCATTGGTGTGGTTGTGTAACATGAGACCTAATCATTGGTGTGATTAGTTGTGAACTGCCAACCATTGTAGTGGTTGAGTAGGTTGCCAACCATTGGTGTGGTTGTGTAACATGAGACCTAATCATTGGTGTGATTAGTTGTGAACTGCCAACCATTGTAGTGGTTGAGTAGGTTGCCAACCATTGGTGTGGTTGTGTAACATGGGACCTAATCATTGACCTAATCATGTGATTAGTTGTGAACTGCCAACCATTGTAGTGGTTGAGTAGGTTGCCAACCATTGGTGTGGTTGTGTGACATGAGACCTAATCATTGGTGTGATTAGTTGTGAACTGCCAACCATTGTAGTGGTTGAGTAGGTTGCCAACCATTGGTGTGGTTGTGTGACATGAGACCTAATCATTGGTGTGATTAGTTGTGAACTGCCAACCATTGTAGTGGTTGAGTAGGTTGCCAACCATTGGTGTGGTTGTGTGACATGAGACCTAATCATTGGTGTGATTAGTTGTGAACTGCCAGCCATTGTAGTGGCTGAGTAGAATTTCCAACCATTGTAGTGGTTGTGAAATTGTTAGAAGTCAATCATTGTAGTGATTGTGCTTGATACTGCAAATCATTGTTGTGATTGTGCAGGGTTGAAAACCATTGTAGTGGTTTTGTACATGTTATTTCAGGTTTATGATTCAAATCTATTAGTTGTTTATGCAATGTAATATTGCTGCATATGAGAGAGATATGACAGAGATGTGGTCAGAGATGACCGAGTGATTAAAATTTTCGAACAAGATTCTGAGATTTACTTTGTTTTACAGAATAAGCCACACGAGGACGTGTGTGCGCAGGATGGCCGTGTCGGATTCGAATACGAACAAGGACGCCATCTAGACATAAGAAGATGAATCAGCTAATGGAGGTGCAGTCTTGCATCGATGTGGTCTGGGTGTGTGTCTCGAGTAAGAGCGACAAGCGCAGAAGGGATTCGAAGGTTTCGAGGGAAAGGCGAATCATGTATGAAGACACTCACTCTGAGAGCACCGTTGAGCGCGCACCCAGAACTCATCCCGTTACGCCGATTCAATTCGTATTGTTTAAGCTAAGACATACTTTGTTTTGTAATAAATGGCGCGTAATTTAAATTGGAATGTTGTTAATGTAGTTGAGGAGGAGGTGTATCCGACATATATTTCTTAATTTTCTAGCCCTCTTAGTTGTCGAGAGCCTACAGAATTCGAAAACCGAATTTGCTGAATAAAGATTTTTAAACATTAATTTTTCCCGCCATTAATAGTTACCGCCTCTTATATTTACTTACCTCCTCGCCCTTCCTGCGATCCTAATACCAAAATCTGAGTTTCGACTGTTTCGAGTCCAAATTTTCTGTCATTTTGTCCCTCAGAGTCGACAAAATAAAGATTGAATATTAGGAACGCAGAAAGTTGAGGAGGCCGATAAAGTTTTGGCGGCAACTAGTAATGTGCTGCCTCCACTGGCGACGGGCCGAAGCTCAAAACTTTCGGTTGTTGTAGTTTCTAATTGATAGATGGCACTAGCATGCACTTTTCAAAATAAATGGTTTAAGGAATCGTTAAATATGAATATGTGATAAGGTAGAAATAACAAAAATAATTATAATTCGAAAAACTTAAAAATATTCTTTAATAAAGAAAACACACAAGCATACAATTTGGGAAACATTTTATGTAATAATCACAAAAGTTATTTAAGATAATGAAATTTAATACTAACAATCTGATGCAAGAATGGTCCTTCTAGAGTCAAGTGCAAAATCCCTAAAACAAGCAAAAATTAGTCCTTCGTACATAAAAATGCAATTTTGGGGGTCAATTTGTACGATATTCATAAAAGTTATTTAGGAAAATGATAAAGGAACTAATTACTTACAATCTGATATCAGAATGGTCCTTCTACGATGTCAGACTCTGGTGCAAAATTCCTAAAACCATAAAAAATTAGTCCTTCGAACATAAAAATGCAATTTTGGGGGTCAATTTGTACGATAATCATAAAAGTTATTTAGGAAAATGATAAAGGAACTATTTACCTACAATCAGATACCAGAATGGTCCTTCTACGATGTCAGACTCAGGTGCAAAATTCCTAAAACCATAAAAAATTAGTCCTTCGAACATAAAAATGCAATTTTGGGGGTCAATTTGTACGATAATCATAAAAGTTATTTAGGAAAATGATAAAGGAACTATTTACCTACAATCTGATACCAGAATGGTCCTTCTACGATGTCAGACTCAGGTGCAAAGTTCATAAAACCATAAAAAATTAGTTCTTCGAACATAAAAATGCAATTTTGGGGGTCAATTTGTACGATAATCATAAAAGTTATTTAGGAAAATGATAAAGGAACTAAGTACTTACAATCTGATACCCGAATGGTCTTTCTACGATGTCAGACTCAGGTGCAAAATCCCTAAAACAAGCATAAATTAGTCCTTCGAAGGTAATTACAAAATTAGCCGGGCAAAAAATTCAAAAAGGGCATTTTTGTAGATTTCCCGAGAGAGAAATCTACTAGTTAAATAAGAAAATTATGAAGAATTATAATACCTACATTTTTGTGCAAGAACGGTTGTTCTCAGACACGGCGTGCGCCCGCTAAAACAGAAAAACCACAAAATTAGCCGAGCAAAAAACACAAAAAGAGCATTTTTGTAGGTTTCCCGAGGGTTAATCCTACAAGTTATATATGAATATAATAAAGAATTTTAATACCTACAATTTGGTGACAGAAGGGTTGTCTTCCGATATGGCGTTCGCCCGCTAAAGTAAAAAAACCACAAAATTAGCCAAGCAAGAAATACAAAAAGAGCTTTTTGGTAGGTTTTCCGAGGGTTTAACCTACAAGTTATTTATGAAAATTATTAAGCATTTTAATACCTACAATTTGGTGAAAAAGGGGTTGTCCTGCAATATGGCGTTCGCCCGCTAAAATAGAAAAACCACAAAATTAGCCGAGCAAAAAACACAAAATGGGCATTTTTGTAGGTTTCCCAAGGGTTAAACCAACAAATTGTATATGAAAATTATTAAGAATTTTAATACCTACAATTTAGTAAAAGAACGGTTGTCCTCCGACATGGCGTTCGCCCGCTAAAACAAAAAAACACAAAATTAGCCGAGCAAAAAACACAAAACGGGAATTTTTGTAGGTTTTCCAAGGATTAAACCTACAAATTATATATGGATATAATAAAGAATTTTAATACCTACAATTTGGTAAAAGAACGGTTGTCCTCCGACATGGCGTTCGCCCGCTAAAACAAAGAAAAACACAAAATAAGACAAGCAAAAAACACAAAAAAAGGAATTTTTGTAGGTTTTCCGAGTCTTAAACCAAGAAGTTATATATGAATATAATAAAGAATTTTAATACCTACAATTTGGGGAGAGAACCGTTATCCTGCGTTATGGCGTTCGCCCGCTAAAATAGAAAAACCACAAGATTACCCGAGCAAAAAACACAAAAAGGCCATTTTTGTAGGTTTTCCGAGGGTACCTACAAATTATACACACTCGCTGAAATTCATTGTTGTCCATACCATTATCACATTAAAACTTCAAGACACGCAATTAATAACTATGAAGAGAGACTCACAAACAAAACACGTGGTCACGACACCACCGCGCACGACCGACTAAACAGGAAAGAAAATTATCAGCCGGCGTAAACATCAAGTTGGGGACACCAGGTAGATAACTGTAGCATAGTATATTTTGTAATACTTCTCCATTCAATTTGTTTGGTACTTTTGGATTATAACAATGACATATGATACTGTCATATTAATTAGCGAAGAAATTAAAGAATGATTAGCAAGAAAACCTCCCATTGCTGAAAAGTTTGCGAAGTACTCTTCAATGTGGTTCAATAAATTATAGCCACTTTTGTTAAATAAACTGTCAAAAAACAGTCTCAAATTATATTCAATAGTACATTGTTTATGAATGTTGGGATCTTTGATCGGCTGGTCGCTAGCGCGTATAGTTCAAAAGATATATGCGACCGAATTCGAATTTCCAATTTAACAAGCTCATTTTATAGAAAATTTTCGGTAGATTAAGACCCTGCCATTCGTTCTTGTTTATCTCTTTTGTTTACGAGATATTCGCAATTGAAAAAAAGCGTCAAAAATTGAAAAATGTCCCTTTTTAGCACTTTTAACCACGTTTTTAAACCTTTTACCCCACAAATTTTAATCATTTTAATATCTTATCTGATAGAAAATTTTCCAATATTTCATAATCAGCAATTCGTTAATAGCTATCGCTTTTAGTTTAAGAGATATTAATTATCGAAAATCCTCGATAAAAGTTATCAAGCAATTTTTTTCTTAAGAATTAAAATTTCAACTCTCAGATTTCTGTTTTAACTGTCCTATCTTATAGAGAATAGTCCGTAGATTATCATCTAAAGAAGTACTCATTTCAAAAGTTCGACCCTGTCTTTCAGACGAAAATAATTTTAATAAAATAATTTGGACCTGTTTATCGATCAAAATTAAATTTAAACCATAAATTCAGGCCCGTCTTTCTACCAAAACATGATAAATATTGAAAGAAAAGTGTATTTTTATAGAAACAACGTTGTTCAACACGCTACCAAACGTGATGTAGTTTTGTTCAGGTAGTAGCACACCTTGTACGCCGATCGAAGTCATTTAATCGGTGAAATAAACGTTGGAACGTGGGTTGGAACCGCGTAATATCGCGGATCATATTGGAACGAACCAGATTGAACCGCCGCAGCCATTGATGCAAGCGATCGGACCGAATGGACTTACCCCGTGGCAGAGAAATACGCCGCGGGCAAATAATCCGGGCCCCGATGGCAATTAATTCCATACTAAATTTTAAAAATATAATTTTAACCGTGTAGATGCTGCTACCTGCAACAAATCTACAAACGTTGAGGCATCAATTTCATCTAAATTCACCTACACCGCAAGTATACGAAATGATCATTGCTGTTAGCTATTTAGTTACGCGCGTATCACGCCAAAGAAGGCTCACGTTTATAATTTATGCACAACATGAAATTCAATACGTGGTAATGAATATTGAATTGGTTTTATTTGGTTTTAAATTTATGCATTTACGTCGCCGTAGGTAAATAATTAATTCAGAAATCAATGAGGATATAGATTTACTTTTCCGCATTTCAATCATTGTTTAAGAAAAAATCAAATAGAAAATATCAGGAATCTTATTATTTCCAAAATAATTTGACTTTACAAAGTAAATGTTTCTTGAAATAATTAACTAAAACCAAAGATAATACTCGTTAAATATTAAACATTAATATTTCTATTTAAATCAATCAATTCTTAATCTTATTATTACTAAATTATCAACCTTGGCTTTTAAAAAATAATTAAAAGGAACCATTGTCATGCATGAAATCAGATCAAAGAAGTAATTATTTCTTCAAATATATTTTGATTAATGATTAATTGTTTGTATTAATTTAATAAAAATAGGTCATAAATTCATCACGAATTTCCTTGAAGTATTATTCTTCTGTTTACACGTGTCCATAAAAATTAATGAATCTGTTTTTATTATGATGTTTGTGATGTGATGTAAAAAGTTGAAAGTGTTTACACTCGTGCATTGTGTCGACGCTTATGAAATGTCCACATAAAAAAGGTAAAACGTAAAAAATAAGACATCCATTGTGAAAAACACACTCACTTTGGGGAATTTCAAGCGCGGCTCAAAAAAACTAAACGATTCCGGTTCGCGGCGGTTGCGACCGCCGGCGACGCATCGGAAGAAAAATTCACCTATCAATGCAACGCACAACGCTCAGCAAGCAGCGCACGCGCGTCAAACACAAATAAATTCTAAGTAAAAATGATAAATCATTGCAAACTCCCGATATGTGTGCACATATCATATCATCTAGCAAACTACACATCAAACCACAAACATTTAAATTGCTACCAAATTATATACTAGGATTGGAATGGCATGCTTAATTAAAGTTCTATCTAATTAGGCAGATAATTATCCCCCTCGTGGAGAAGTTGGAGTAGTGGAGCATTAATATATATGATGAGCATTCGAAGGGAAAACATATTCGTCACTGCATTGCTTTGAACGTAACAAATGCTCAAATGCTTCTCGTATTGATAGATAAATTGCTTCGATTGGTTTGGTTTCTATTGCGCATTGTTTCGACGTGCGACGCGTTCGGTGGCGATTAAAAGAAGTACAAACCAGTTGGTTCTGACCAAAATTCGTTTTTAATTAGAATTAATATGTCGCAGCGCTGCGCGCACACACATGGCAGTTTGCATTGTTGTTAGACGCAACAAGCAACAATCTGAAGCGTTTAATGTGTAACAAAATCAGATCAGGACTATTTTCTACTCTCACTAATGTTTCATGTAGGTAATTGCTTTAACACGATGTATGATTATTTTGCAACACTAACGAAATGTTTTTATGAAATATTTTTACAGTAAATATACAAATAATATGTTTTTGATGTAATATTATGATTAGTAGATGAGTTTAGAGTTTGTCCTGGTCTGAATTTTGAATTTATTGCTGTTTCTTAAATTTGCGAAGGTCAAAATGGTCTAATTGTCGTAAAATTGTGATTAATGAGCACATTTCAATCTATTTGCGGAATTCCTTTGTTTATGTTTTACAAAAAGTAAACAATCTTCAATTTTGACAAACATTTAATGAATTAAATAGCCATTAAACTAATTTTTACGAGTTTTCTATTAAAACTCGTCGGATACGCAGATACTTCAAACTAATCTTTTGTGCAAGGATATTTTTGTCATTATCTTTAAATTAAAGTGTTAAAATATTTGTAATTAAAGCTTAAAAACACTCAACTTTCCAAACAAGCATTAATCATCTAAAATATTAAATTAATCATATGCCACATTAAGATACACAGCAAAATGGTTGGTATTTTGCACAAAATCAATGGATTTAGTCAAAATATTGTGTTTTTCTTATAATTATTTAGATTTTATTCAATGTTGGCATTAAAAATATGTACTTTTTTATGTCAAAGTATTTTTAGCACATCCTTAATGGCAAACACAACAAAATAGCAGCCATTGTGCACACAATCAATAATTTCAGTCAAAAATCTTGTTTTTTATAATTATAAACGTTTTATTCAACGTCAACATTAAAAACATGTACAGTTATGTATAAAAGGCGTTTTTTACGCATTTTTAATGTTTAACTTTCAAATAAAACGCGTTTTTCTATATTTTTGATTATAATTATTTGAAGTCGATGAACGATGACATTTACACGAGCTTAAGATAATGAATACTTAAATTTTCATGGTTTCTTCCGCGTTATTCCGCACTTGTTGTAACATCCTAGTACCAAATTAAATCTGACTCCACCAAATACGCACGTGACGCACCACACATCAAACAAACAAATAAATAACTAAATCAACGAATCGAACAAGTGCGTGTAGTGCTATATTGCTTGACTTCCTGATTTTCCTCCAAATTACTTTGTTAATCGACCAGATACCAAATGATTGAGTGTTTGTCTTGACTTTCATGTGTAAAAAGCAATTAGCTATACCATCCTACCAGTTATTACCCGAATCTTGGTGTGGCTCTCTGGGCACGTTTCTCGATTGCGCCCAGCGCAATTTGTTAACAACGCAGCGCGCGCCTTTTAAAAACCAGCTGCCATTCTGCCACGGTTCGCATTTCGAGCAATAGTCGCAAACCAGCCAAGTCTGAGTGCGACGAAACACTTGAAAAGCTTCGTGTGTGTTGTATGTGTGTCAAAGTTAAAAAGTCGTTGTATAAAACGAAACGTTTGCCGATTGATTTCGATCATTTGATAACGAGATCTTAAACATTGCGCATCCGGAAGAACACAGTACAAAACTTGTCTTTGAAATTAAATAAAAGAACAGCATACAAAATTAAATCAAGTTTTGAAGTGAAAAGAAAAGTTGATTTTCAATTTTGCGATTTTTCCATTGCTGAGCGTTTTGTGGATTTAAATATCCGCGAATGAAATACCGTCGGTCGAATCGCGAAATTATTCAAATACAATTTCGTACATTTCTTCACTCTGCCAGCGACAGAGTATAAATGTAAAAATAATTTGTTAATTTCTGATAGTTCCAAATTTTTGTGCGTGGTTGTGGTATATTTAAAACAAATAAAAAAGTGATTTAGTTAATAATTTCATGTAAGTATTTTTATTTTATTTACGGTTTACCTTTATTTATTAAAAAAAATAATTTAGTAATTAACAAAAGGGTATTATACCTTCAATCATCATTTACAAATTATAGGTATTATAAATTAGTACAAAAACCACAAATTGCAGCCAATTATTGAATAAAAATGTCTATTAGAGTTCATTCAATAGTTTAAATGGTAGCTAATTTGTTTAAACAGGTGCTAACAACTTAATTTAAACAGTATTTAATTGTGCTAATTTATTGTTCATGCCAAAAGCAATTAATTTTTTTGTGTGGTCAACCTAATAGGTCAATATTTAACATTCGTAAAAATTAATTGCAAAACAAATCTTTGCAAATAAGGATTGGCAAATACCAAATTTATAGATTTCAAAAATAGTTTTATAATCTGAGCTGCCTGATTTATGTGTTTACTTTCAAACTAACAAAAACACTTGAGATTTATTGATTTTTAATTGTAAACAAATTGAAAATATTTTGGTACTTAACAATTGACCGATAAAAACTATGAACACATAAAAAATAATTCAAATTTATAACAAAAACCGATTATTTAAAGAATAGTATTATAACAGTACACGTGTAATATTAGTTTGACTAAATCCATGATTGCAATAAATTAAACTGAAGTTCTTAATTAGTTTAATGCTATAGTTTGCAACTGGATAACTAATAATTACAAAATCTCGATTCGCGGTAAAACATACCAAAGCATTAATTTAAATTCCAATGAAATTAATGATATGTATTTTATACTTTTGCAGGTGTTAGATCTTTTCTAAAACGTCGCCGATATGTTGAAATTTACATCCGATAAAAGTTTACTTTGTTTATTGATCTTGACATCAACAATATGCTGTGTTTTATCAAACGAACATAATTCATCCGTTACTTATACAGGTATAAACATTAAACCAATATTAATTTAATATAAACCTTTGATATTAATTGAAAATATTTTGATTGAGTTTAGTAGTGAAAGAAAACAATGCACAATGCGCGAATGGTCACGAAACCCTCAAGAACGGTTTCTCATGGGCAGATTACCTTGTCCTGGGCGCCATGCTTGGCATATCATGCGGTATCGGCGTGTTTTACGGCTTCTTCGGTGATAAGCAAACAACGAGCGACGATTTTCTCCTAGGCGGTAGCTCCATGGGTACAGTGCCAATGTCAATGTCACTTGCAGCAAGGTAAGCTAATAATAGGTAGAAATAACTAGTTACCTATATAAATACCATCGCATAAATTAACTTTGAGATAAAGTTTCACACATATACGAAATTTTACAATTGTTTAATAACTCAAACACAATGCGTACATGTATAAAAAAACAGTCATCATAAAATTATAGTAAGGACCACAGGATCATGACTAGAATAACAATCAATTATTGCAAATCGTCACCAATGACGTCAAAAAATTTTAAGATTTAAATTGACAATATCAATGGTAAATTTAAGTACGTCAGAGAGATTGGGTTGATTTTGTTGCAAGTTTGCTTGCAGTGACACGAAGCTGTACAGTTAGTTCGTTCTAGTTTGATCTGGATACGTTTTACAAGCGGCCGCGACGATCGCAGATTTAAATTATTAATGGCGGTCGTTTTTCTGTCTCCACTTTCCACTCCACACACACTCCAGCAATAATTTTGTTTCTGTATTTAGTTTCATCACGGCTATAGAACTTTTGGGCAACCCAGCGGAAATGTACCAGCATGGTTCGCAATACTGGATGATCTGTCTGGCATTCGTCCTCGTTGTCCCTTTGACCTCCAAATTATACCTACCAGTATACATGAAACTTAGGTTGACTTCAACTTATGAATACCTTCAGATGCGTTTCAATGCGCATACTAGATACGTGGCTAGTGGGTTGTATATACTTCAAATGGTACTCTATACTAGTGTGGCTGTGTATGCTCCTGCATTAGCCTTAAGTCATGGTTAGTTTTGTTTGGAAATTAGATTTATCAAAGAGGTTAATTATTTTTTGTTGTATTTAGTTACGGGATTGAATGTCTACCTTGCTGTTACCGTTGTTTACATTGTGTGCATATTCTACGCGTCTCAGGGCGGAATGAAAGCTGTGATCATGACAGACACCTTCCAAGCGGCGGTGTTGATTGGTTCCATTATGTTGATCGTTTACTATGGGGAGAAATTTGTAGGGGGGGCTGGTGTTATTTGGTCCAGTAATTACAGGACAGAAAGATTGGAGATTTTTGAGTAAGTAAACATAAAATTACCTGTTTAAAATTATTTTTATAAATTTTTATTAATTGTAATGTTTATAGTATGAATCCGAATCCTACAATTCGTCATAGTTTCTGGTCGGTTGTTCTGGGTGGGACCTTTTATTGGATGACCATGTTCTGTTCTAACCAGGCATCCATTCAGAAGTATTTGTCGGTTGAGAAGATCTCCCAGGTCCGCAGGTAATACAATTATTCCTAAAACATTCTAAAGTGATTATAATTTTGTTTTCTTTTGTTCATAGGGCATTATGGTTCTCTTGTTTTGGTCTAATTTTAATCTACACAATCAACTTCTATACCGGCATGATAATGGTTGCCCATTACCGCCATTGTGACCCAATTCATGCTGGTAACATCAAAAGTGCTGATGAACTTCTTCCGTTGTATGTCATTGAAGAAATGGGGCACATGCGAGGAGTTACAGGTTTCTTTGTTGCGGGAATATTTGCAGCTAGTTTGGGGTATGTCTAGTTATTTATCAATAGAATTCATCAATATTAACACAACAGGTACTTGTTTATAGTACTGTTGCCTCCGCACTGAACAGTCTCGCTGCTGTTACCATGCAAGACTTCATCGGAGGTGCGTGTGGATATAAATTAGCAGGAGACAAAGGAGCACTTTGGGCCAAATGGATTTCCATTATCTATGGTGCAATCAGTTTTGGTCTTGTTTTTGTTGTTGAACAACTTGGAAGTGTAATGCAAGCCGCGATTAGTTTCAACGGTATGGTTGGAGGTGTCACCTTTGGGTTGTTTTCATTGGGGATGTTTTTCCCATGGGCTAATACTAAGGTAATTATTAGCCAACATAATCAAAGTCATTTAATACTTAAAATGCAATGAATATTTTACAGGGAGCTATTGCCGGAACAGTCACCTCAATGGTCCTCATCGTTTGGATGGGAATTGGTCAACAAATAGCAATTGCCAGTGGTAACTTTCATGATACACCCAAGGAAACTAGTATTGACCAATGCCCTTGCTTAAATTCTACCTCCCTCACCCCAGATGCTATTGTCTATGAAGATTCTCATCACCCACCTGAAGTATTTTTCCTATACAGAGTTTCCTTCCTCTGGTATTCCGCTATTGGCTTCCTCGTAACCATAATTATCGGTATGATAGTTTCATATCTCACGGGATTCGAAGACCCACATGATGTCGACACAGATTTAATTTCACCAGTAGTACATGAGTTCTTATGTGGGTTGCCTAAATCTTTAAAAGAAAAACTCAACATTCCCCTGAAGCAAAACTCTTCGGGAACTACAAAAAGTTATGCAAATGGCGACAGAGACATGTCAATGAAAGGAGTTGTTAATGTCACTTTAGATATAAGCGACGAGGCTGAGAAACCTAAACAAAATAGCAATAATGGTACTGTACCGCATGTAATTTGAGCACCAACTATGATTTGTTATTTATTATTTATTTGTGCCTCTGCATTAGTATTATTAAAATAGTAATTACATGTAAAGAAGCAAAATGTATAGATTTTATAGTTGCAACAATATAATCTCAATTATGCTTGATATTATTGCAGTAAATTACATTTTAGTGATTGAAATGAAAGATAATCGTGATGAAGATAATTTTGAACCAAATAAATAATTTTTTTTTAATAATATCCATTTATATACAACATAACTACAACAGCGCCATCTAGTGGTCCGCATTTTAAGCATTGAAAGGTACAATTTCGATTTTTTCATCCCCTCTACAATCCACCCCTTAGCACAGAAAGGATGCCGAGATTTTCCTCATGCCCGGCGCAGCCGACATTGCACATTCGTACCCGTACACATCGCACCCACACACAAACGAAATCACACATCGCCGCACACGCAACCCTTTCGATTTTCATCCACATTTTCACCTAACAATACTCTTACAACCCTCACTAGCGTAAATCAATCAGTCCACATTCACGCTGCGCGTTGTATGCAGGTCATTCTGCTATTTATTACATTATACATTACACTACCGTCTGTTTTATGTTAATACCCATTACACTTTCGATTTAGTGTCTTACTTGGTTGGCTGTTTCGAGCATTTTTGAGTTACTACCGTGTGCCGAAGTGAACGGAGTGCGAATTGTAAGCGCAAGTGCATGAAATGTGGGCACATTTCACCTCGACCTTCTCAACTCGCCCGCGGCTCGTGTACGCATTGCCTGGTGTTGAAGAGAACGAACGCAACACGAATGGAATTGAATGAAATTTAGAAAGTGCTACCGCTACCACACACTCTAAGATAAGCAGAACGCGACAAGACAACGCAGTCAACAATAACGTCCACGGCCAGTTCCACCGCGTTGCTCACTTCGTCTACGGCTCAAACATTTGCAAATCAGCAAAATGATAACTTTATAATGAATAAACCGCAATACTTTCCAAACAAGTATTAATAATTTGTGTAAAAGTGTCTCAAGTGTAAATGTATCTCAGTGAATACGCGTGGAAAATGGGTGCAAAACGGCCGATCGCAGTAACACGTTCTCTCCTCTGCCAGCGTTGGTCCTTTCCGTTTCCAATCTTCTGCTATCTGGGCCTGATGCTCACCTTCTGGCTGCTATCGGTACCTCTTAAACCACATATTCGAATTCGGATCCCGAATGATTCTCCGATGGATATTCGACTAGGCGCTGAAGATACTTTTGAGATTCGATTGAAGAATAGCAATTTCAATTCGGATGATAATAATAAAACCCGAGTGGAGGCGGTGATGAAAAGAACGCGGATCCGATGAATGATCCGAGGAATGAGTATTTGATTAACGTGGATAATAAAGAGAACTTGCATAAAGATCAGGCGGAAATTCTGGAGGAAGTTTTTCGAAAGTAAGTCACCAGAAACAATGGCAAATCTTTCAATAGAGTAATTTAACTTGTTTGACAAGTAGAGTAAAGTTGGCAACTTTCATCACAAAGTTTTAATGGGGGTCTCGTTATTTGTTTTGTTTTAGAGCGGATAAAGACAAAAACAATAAGTTGGATTCGCGTGAGTTGGCTGAATGGATTCGGAGAAAAATCGTCGAGCATATTTCTTGGGCGGTGAGCAATAATTATGGCCTTTTTACGCTGATTGATAGGAACCCCCGTAATGGCGTCGTCACCTGGAAGGAATATCATGCGTACTTTTTGAAAAAGCGCGGTTTTAGCCGGAAGTATGTCAAGCACCATGATGAAAAACGACACAAGGGATTAGAAAGGTCATTAAAAGGTAACAGAATATAGATATAATACCTTATAACATTTTTTATTTAAATATTAACTTTTTAGAGCAAATAATGAGAGATAAAGCTTCGTGGATGGAAGCAGCACGTTCCAATCCAGATGCTCTCACTTTGGACGAGTTTTTGGCATTCACTCACCCTGAATCTAGCGCTACAAATCATTTGGCTTTGGTGGATGAGCTCTATGACAAATTTGACAGAGATGGCGATGAATTACTAACGGAAGACGAATTTGCCATTCTTCAAACTGAAGGTAAAAGTCAAAAATCTCTAAAAATATTATACTAAATCATATAAATCATAAAACTCTAGGTGCTGAAGATGAAACAGTTGTAATCCGTCAAGATGAAAACGAACGCCGCGCGGAGTTTCGTAAAAACGTCGATTTAAATGGCGATGGAAGAGCTGACCGCCGTGAATTGCTTCGTTATGTTGCTCCGCAGAGTCCACGACATAGTGAACATGAAGCTGAAGCTCTCCTGGCTCTTGCTGATAACGATCAGGACAACATGCTCTCTTTAGACGAAATACTCTCGCACCCGAATCTGTTCCTCAAATCCAAGATGGTGGACACCGCGCGAAGCTTCCACGATGAATTTTAGCAAATACTCTCGATCACCGTCCTCTCCACGTTCACCCAACCCGAGGAGCTCTGACCCATGGAGCTCCCAAGTTGAGCGCGTGCGTGATACTTGTTTATCTTTTAAATAAACTTGAATTAAACTAAGGTACTACTATAACGTACTAATCTATGTGAATACGTTAGAAGCACCTTGTCAATATGGAATTATTTTCTTGCACATTAGGGACGACTATCAATTATTACACTAAACGTCACGATGAGATTTTATTTATAAGGCAAACGAAAAGACTGCTAATTTTATTAATTAATTGTAATGTTATTTATATAAGTATAATGTACATAAAGATGGTTCATGTTTTAATGAAGTACGCAATCGATTGTTAGTAGAAGGTAATTTGAAGTTATTGGAAGCTGGATAATGTGTTGTAGGATGACATTCAGAATAAAATTACTTAGAGCACTTCTAAATATTTTTTTTGGTATAAATAAATGCTAAACGTTTGAACTATGCGCCTGTCATACAATAAAATGCTGCATAGATGGCGCTAAATGTCCTGTTTTAAAATTAACGCTGTTATGTATTATGTATTATGTATTAATATGTTACGTATTAATGAAAAGAACTTGGAATTTATGTTTTTAGAAGATTAATACTAAATATGCTAATTCTCTGTTCTTCTTTAAACTAAAAAGACTACAAAAGCGTCAATACACAAAAATAAACGACGTTTTTAAATCACACTCACCTCCGTTTCTTACATCAGCTGTGAGTTAGCGTGACAGTTTCGCCAGTGGAGTAGACTAACCATCTGGATCGCAAAATATTCTCAAATAAAAATATCTAAACCATCTGTGCTTGTGTAATTAGTAATATGAACGAGTGCGAATTAAATTTTACCAAAATATGCCGTTGTTGTAAGCGGGAAGAGGTTAAGATGATTTCAATCTTTGATGATAATATTGAATCCATTCACCCTTCCATTCCGGCAATGCTATTGACCATCGCTTCTCTAAATGTAAGTACATATACTATTTGAAATTATTCGAATTTAATCACATGTTGAAATGATTTTTGAAATATCTTTGTATTTTAGGTTCAGCAAAATGATGGTTTGCCTTCTCTCATTTGCAAAACATGCATCAACAAAGTCCAAAATGCTTATACCTTTAGACAACAGTTGATAAAAACAGAGGCTGAGTTGTGGGAAATATTAAAACAGCAAAAGGAGGTAATAATTGAAGAAAAAAGTGAGAATATAGTTAGTTTTCTAAAATCACTGCTGAGAAAAAATGTAGAGAATGATGAACCAACTGGGGATCCACCTAATGTAGATCAACCAGTAACATATTTTTGTGATAAATGTGATACAGGGTACTCTCATGTAACATCACTACAGAGGCATATGAAGTCTCTACATGACACTTCAATAATATATGAATGTAAAAGTTGTAATGCCATTATTGCAAGTAAGGAAAATTTAAAAGTACATATTCATCTTCATGAAAAGTCATTTTGCTGTGAGAATTGCAAACTTATTTTTAATTCTTTGCCTGATTTGCATGCTCACCTATGTAGTAGCAACACAACTAACACAAGTGTTGATTTTCAAAAGATTGAGGCAAATGAAGATATTGCAGAATATTTTACAGAGTTAGTATACAATGAGATTGAAACTCTTGAAGTTGAATGTGACCCAATCTATTTACCCCAAAATTTGACTGAAATTGATGAAAATATTAATTTAACTAATATCAAAGCAAAAGATCTCAAAGAACATATTCTCCAGAAACGTAAAATATTTGCATGTAAACTATGTGGTTGCAATTTTGCACGATTTTATTACATGCAGCGTCATTTGCGCACACATCTCAAGCAGAATGTGTTTAGGTGCGCCAAATGTAATCGCACTTATAGCAGACATGAAAAACTGCTTTCACATTCGAAATCATGTAAGGGCGAAACGATATTTGCGTGTGATATTTGCAATCGGACGTTTAAACGTGCGGAAAACTTGATGTGTCATAAAGAGATACATTCAAACTCGACTATCTCGCAAATTAAAACTTTAACCGAGGAGGATCTGCAAGGTACGAATGCTAAGCAATTCTACAGTTGGAATTATGTGTCTGTGGATAATAATACTTTAACAATAGAGAACGCGGATGAAGAAAGTGCTCACAGTGATAACGATATTGAAGACACTGAAAGTACAGAAAAAAAGATAAAGTTATTTGCGTTTGTTTGCGATATTTGCAATGTTGAGTTTGGTTGCCTGGAAAAACTTGAGGAACACCATCTACTTCACCATAATCTTCCTAATGTTGTTGATTTCGAATCAACAAATGAAGATAAAACAGATTTAACTAATGGTGAGAATACTAGTGATAATTGCGATGTTACTGCCGAACCTAAAGATGTATCCGATGAAGAATTAGTGATGAAAATTGAAATTGAAGATGATGAAATACAAAACATCCCCAAACAGGATGAATCTGATGGAGATTATTTACCAAATGCAAGAACAAAACGCACCAGAAAGAGACGACCTGGTAGACCCAAGAAGATCAAACCAGAAGAGACAGAACCGATTGGAAAGTTCACATGTCCTGTGTGCAATGAAACTTTTGAGCGAATTTCGCACCTTGAGTCGCACGGCAAGGAATTTCACGCTGATTATCAGGTCTTGAAGTGTTCGCAATGCGACGGAATGTTTTCTCGTGTGTACGCACTGAATCGACACATGCAGCTTCATAAAATCGATGTGGATGCAACTTTATTAGCAGCGCAAGCGGAGAACCGAGAACGATTGATGAAGGAAAGGCGACATGAATGCGAGAAGTGTCTGAAACGTTTTACAACCAAGCAGGCGAAACAGTTCCATATGAAGAAACACGCAGATGATGAGAACTTTGTATGTCACAAGTGTTTCAAACCGTTCTTGTCCAAGAGCAACTTAATGGAGCATTTGCAGTTTCACGATAAGACAAAAAAGTTCCTGTGCTCGGAATGTGGCCAGAGTTTTACTCGGAATGATTATTTGATTATTCACATGAGGCGGCACCGAGGAGAGAAACCGTATACTTGTAAATATTGTGGAAAAGGTAATAGAATAATAAAAATCTGCAAAAATAGCTTTAACATTGTGTTTGCAGGTTTTCCACGAGGTACTGACTTGAAAGTACACGAACGTTATCACACTGGTGAGAAAACACATCTGTGTGTTGTATGTGGGCATGGATTTAACAGGTAAAGGATATTTTATCCATAAAGTAACAGTAATTTCATCAAATTGATAAATTTCAGAGCTTATAATTTAACAGTTCATATGCGAACGCACACAGGCGAGAAACCTTACAAGTGTCGCTACTGTGACTCAGCGTTCGCACAATGCAACGATTTAAAATCGCATATTCGCCGGCACACAGGCGAGAGATTCCAGTGTGATTTGTGCTCATTGAACTTTATCATGGGTTATGAATTAATCCAGCATAAACGAAAGGATCATGGTAAATTAACGCATCTATTAAATTATTGCGCTCCGACTTATTTTGTTTTTATTGTAAGGTTTGAATGTTAGAGTCACATTAGGAGAATTAAAAACACTGGTTCGAATCCGAATGATCCAAAAGCAGAGACTATTGAGCTTCCTGAACCTACGATACCGGAGAGGCTGGTGGTGAATCTACCGAAGAAGGAGATATCTACAGAAGATCCATTATTGCAATCTGTTAACAAGGAGTAGCCGCAAATTGCGTTTGGTATACCATAGTTATATTTTATTAAATGAATTCTGTACTGCGGATATATTTAATAAAAATTTATTCTTTTATACATCAGGCACTATTATTGAGGAAATATAAGGTAAATAACGAACTGAACACAGCGTCTGCAAGTAAATGGCACGAGCTGTATTAAAACTTTATTATTTTAGTTTTTAATACAAAAACTTTGTCACATTCGCAGTCGGTAGGATTCGAACCTACGCTCCCAGAGGGAATCTGATTTCTAGTCAGACGCCTTAACCGCTCGGCCACGACTGCATGAGTCCGTAATAAAGTCTTACTTTTCTTGCTGTTCACCTCATTCGTGAAAGGAGGAAAGTAGGTAGGTTGTAATCGTCAAAAAGCATGGTTAAATTTTGGCTAAAATGAGTGATAAATATTCAAATAAATGTTAAATGTTTACATGCGTGTTTACAACAAAACATATTTTGCAGTACCCAACCAAACCTCGCAAAAATCTATCCATTGGAGCATCTTTGGTTAGGTGTTTGTTGTGCATGTTTGTTGCGAGCACTGCTTTCGCCAGTGGAGTAGACTGATTTTCTGAATTGTAAGAAATGCAAACCATTCAGTATCAAAAAAACCTAAGCAGCCTGTGTCTTTCTAACTAGGAAAATGACTGAGAGCAATTTAAATTTTGCCAAAATATGCCGTTGTTGTAAGCGGGAAGAGGTTAAGATGGTTGCAATCTTTAACGTTGATATCGAAACCACTCACCCTCCTATTCCGGAGATATTAATGACCATTGCATCTCTAAATGCAAGTACTTATAGTATTTCAAATTATTCAAACTCAATTACATGTTGAAATGGTTTTTGAATAATCTTTGTATTATAGGTTGAGGAAAATGATGGTTTACCATCTCTCATTTGCAAACCATGCATCAACAACATCCAAAATGCTTATAACTTTAGACAACAGCTGATAAAAATTGAATCAGAATTGAGGGAAATATTAGAAGAGAAGAAAAGCAATGGTCTAGTTAACTTCCTAGCATCACTGCTGAGTAAATCTGTTGAAAATAATGAACCAGTTGAAGTTTGCTCTGATGTAGATTTATCAAAAGGACTCTGGTATAAAAATAAAAATTTGAAACCTGAGCCAAACATTTCAGCAAAATATGAATCTCAAAGTTGTGAAGGTAAGAAAATCTTGATTTTTCCTTATTAAAAACAATGGGAGGCTAGTTATGAAATGTAGTTTAATTATATTTTAAATTATGTGAACAATTTGCATGCTTATTTATTTATGTAGTGCTTATTTAAGTGACATAATGTAGATTCATAAAAAATCAATACATCTGGATTTATAAAATATATTTATTAAAATAATTTGTCATTTTTCTTTGGATTTTACAATTTGTTTGAGAGTTCAACATGTTTAAATTATTTTAATAAATATATTTTATAAATTACTACCATGGATTACGTATTCAACTTAGAAAATAATAAAACATCTGGATTGTTGTTTATGTTTGTATTAGCAACTGCAAATATGTATAATTATGTATTTAAGAATTCTTTAACAATAGATAATGCTGATGGAAGATTAGAGGACCACTTAAACAATTCTGATGATATGAAAACACTTGATTTTAAACTTCACCATAATCAGCCCAAAATTACTGATTGTGAATCAACAAATGAAGATGAAACTTACTTAGCCAGTGGTGAGAATACTAATGATAACTACGATGTCTCTGCCGAAACTAAAGATATATCCGATGAAGAATTAGTGATGAAGATCGAAATTGAAGATGATGAAATACAAAATATCACCAAACAGGATGAATCCGATGGGGATTATTTACCAAATGCAAGAGCAAAACGCACCAGAAAGAGACGACCTGGTAGACCCAAGAAGATCAAACCAGAAGAGAAAGAACAGATTGGAAAGTTCCCATGTCCTTTGTGCAATGAAACTTTCGAGCGCATGTTGCAGCTTGAATCGCACGGCAAGGAAGTTCACCCTTATTGTGAGGTCTTCAAGTGTCCGCATTGCGATAAAAGGTTTTCTCGTGTGTATACATTTAATCGACACAGGAAGGTTCATGTGGATGTGGATGCATCCTTGTTGGCAGCGCAAGCAAAGAATCGAAAACGACTTAAGAACGAACGACGATATAAATGCGAGAAGTGTCCGAAACGTTTTACAAGCAAGCAGGCGAAACAGTTTCATTTGATGAGACACCCAGATGATGGGAACTTTTTTTGCCTCAAGTGTTTTAAACCTTTCTTGTCCAAGAGCAACTTAATAGAGCATATGAAGTGTCACGGTGAGGTAAAACCGTTTGTGTGCTCGGAATGTGGACTGAGTTTTATTCGGAATGATCATTTGAATACGCACATGAAGCGGCACATAGGAACGAGACCGAATCTTTGTAGATATTGTGGAAGAGGTAATAGAATAATAAAAATCTGCAAAAATAGCTTTAACATTGTGTTTGCAGGTTTTCCACGGGATACTGACTTGAAAGCACACGAAGGTTATCACACTGGTGAGAAAACACATATTTGTACTATATGTGGGATGAATTATAGCCGGTAAAGGATATTTTATCTACAATATCATACTAATTTCATCAAATGGATTAATTTCAGAGCTTATTGTTTAACACTTCATATGCGAATCCACACAGGCGAGAACCCTTATAAGTGTGAATATTGTGACGCTCAATTTACAAACCCATCCTCCTTGACCAAACATAAACGAAGACGCCATGTTTGAGTTGAGAATATAAGACTTTCAATTTTTAATTGCATGCTTGCAATTTGGATGTAGTCAATAAATATTTATGTAAAATGTATTTATTAAAATAATTTTGTTGAGAAACTGGATTTCTGATGATGCCCACAGGGCGAAACATGTAAAACTCCCAAACAAAATTGTAAAATCCAAGAAAATCACAAAATTATTTTAATAAATACATTTTATAAACCATGGATTACGTATTCAACTTAGAAAATAATAAAAATATTTATGTTTTATTTAAAAATGCTTTGATGATGAAGGGTTGCATATATTAAGCCGTAGTAATTTTGCCTTTGCGCGTCTCATCGTTTGTCCTGTTGCACAGAAAACAGAAACGGCCTCTTCAACATGCACCCACACAAAAAGAAGATGTTACATGCCTCAATAGAAAAGAATCTCGAGCTCACCTGGCGACCTGGCGAGTTAGTATTACTAACTTGTCGGTAGTAAACTCACTCGAGTACTGACTACCAGATGTCGCCACCTACGCAATATCTTGAATATCTCTCGGTTCGATTACGACACGGCGCACATCGCATCCCATGTGCATTTTTGGTATCGACTGGTGTGCCGCCGTCGCCTGCATTCGCTTGCGTCCGTGTCCGAGGGGTCTGCGTCTGCTAGACGGCATTCGCCACTTCGCCAGCATTCGCACTCGAACGTTACCGTCGCTCGGCTCGTACCGGAGAGAGCAAAACACTCAAATAGCAATATATTTTTTCACACCAAAATACAAACCGCTTTGTGTGCGACCAAACCACAAACACAAACAAACAAGTGAAGATATCAACGAATATCAAACAAAACCAACTAAATAAATGTGAAGGAAGAAAATTTTATTATATGTGAGAGGTGTGCGCGGTGTGGAAATCGCCGAAGAGCAATTGTGCAATCAGGAAAATACGGCGAGACGTGCGCGCCGCCTGATGATATTTTCTCATCGGACGAAAATACTCTCCGTCGCGAGTAAAAGTAAGCAAGAAGAAGGCAGCACCGGTGTGTCGTCCAGTCCGGGCTAACGAACTGCGGGCCATCCGCTCGTTCTTCCTCTCGGTCATTCGTGCGGCGCAGCGCGTTTCCTTTCGTTCTCAGTTTTCGGTGCGTGTTCGGTGCGATACGCACAAATTTATAATTACATAAAATTTAACACTCAATCAGTGATAGTTCCTATGCGTAGACTCAGCGAAACTTAACTTCTTCGAGTTCCTAAATGGTGAATTGCAAATTAGAGGAATTTATTGTTTTAAATCATAATTGTGTCTTCATATTGGATTCACATTGGAATTGACGCCTCGGATAATCGGAATATTCACTGGATTTATTTCTAATATAGGTAAAAGCAACATTTATTCCATACGAGTGCAATAAACTCTGTTAAAATCACTAATTATTGTGACAGACATCCGCCTACGTAAAGGTTAATCATATTAAATAATTCACTAAATGTGTCCTTTGACTTGTATAACTGTACACAAGCGTAAAACGTAAATGACTGTTGCTTCTTTGATTAATTAATTGAACCTGATATTAACTTAGTCACACGTGTTACGCCGATGTAAAAACTAGAAAAAGTTGTAAACTCTTGTTTTGCAGTTTCTCGTATTGCCTATTATGGAACATGTTTAAATAATTACACCTGAACAAGTTACGCAACATGCGTTCATGCTGGTGGTAAACACACAGAGGAATAAAATGTTCATGTACCGCCATGTTTGGCTGCATAATTTGTTTACAATTACAAGCGATCACATGTAAATATTTGCCCAAGGTTGAATTCGCCTCAAAAATGATTTAATGCGAAAATTTTCGTGAATTATTACAATCAATAATTGGTAATCATCATTTTTATGTGCTTTTTGTGAGTCATTCGCTGCGCTCACGCCTAGAAATCACTTTTTGATTGGTGGCATGACGAGAAAAGTCCAACATGGGAGAAAAATGATTAAATTAACCTTGATTTATGTGCTGCCATTTTGTTATGCTTCGATACACGCAGGAAAACAATCTGTGTTGAACTTGTTTCGCGTTGGTAATCATGCGCCAATCGCAATTTCACGAAGGAAACTCGAAGGAAACTGTAAATTGTCACGATACGAACTTTGCTTTTGATTGTTACATTAAACAAGCATAGAATATCGTCGCTTTGACACTTTGGCAGCGCTTATTGGTCTTATTATACGTGAACTCTTCGTCTGCTGGTAAATATCGATCGAATTTCACACTCGGTTGCAAAGTCTTAGCGTTGTTATGGCGAATGCTGCACGATTACATCTTGCGCATTGTGTGGTCTTGTCGAGAGCTATCAGCCACCACGTTATGTCTACTCGGATTACTATTATTCGGTTTGTAGGGTTTTTCTTTTGTTTATTTCCTACACCTGCATGTATAATATTTTAAAGAATGAAGAAGAAGATGAGGAAAATAGTGTGGATTTTATTACACTGCGGGGGTGTTTCCTAAATGCAATTTATGTGAATTTATGATACATCTGCGCTCGTCGTTTCATATTTGGGGCACTTTGGCATTCGGTTAGTGTTACCCTCATGTATTCATAGCCTGATCTCGCCCCCATTTCACGCTAGTTGGTTGTTACATCGTCCAACATCCACAGCCACCCCTTATTTACCCTATTTTCGCATGTCCTTCACTCACAAATTGCTGTTTTTTATATTTTCGGCATTGCAGCTTATAAATTCTGCATATTCAGCAAAAATGTAAAATATTCTCAAGTTAAACATAATTTTATATCCTTTCTTCGTCGATTTCTTAAGATCTACTTGATGACTCGGGAATTCTTATTAAAAGTTTGTAAAAAACGTAATCTAAAAATGAGTTATGCGCACGTTTTCTCCTCGTATCGCCGTGTTGACCTACATTTCTATTTTATTAAGAAAATAGGAAAATAGACCGAAAAGAAAATGGTCGGATGTGGGCTGTGTGTTTGCCTCAGCGTGTTCATGCATTTCGCTATTCCGCAGTCGTTATTTTTACCACCGCGACGATTGATTATCATGCGGCGATTGCCAATGAATTAAGGTGTCATCCGAATTAATTGTTAATTGCGTGACGTGGGCGGCGGTTTTGTTTGCGAACACTTTGTAGCGCCTCGTGACCGTGTGCGAGATGGATGTATCGCCAGTACAATGCCCTTTAACGAAATCATATTTGGCATCGCGCATGCCAACGAGGAATAAAACCAGCGAAACTCAAAATGTTTCAATTATTAATTAAAATTAATAATTTAAAGGTTTTAATGCCGCCATTCTTTTAAAAAATGTGTTTTTTATGATTTTTTTACTTTGAAACATTTTTATGGCGATAGTTTTGCTTATCTTTCAGAAATAAAAAATATATCGCGTCCGGAATAGATTAAACTCGGGCTTTCTCAGTGCAAAGACGTTTGGGACGCGCACCGAGAAATGCAAATCGTCTTCGGTCGTGCGAGCCAAGCGACAAACGTAAATACGACGAATGAAATGACATTGGCGTAAAAATAAAACGGAGCGAGCGAACAACCGATGCACACACATCGCACAACGCCAGCCAACATCACAGAGAGCAAACTTTTCCGAACGAATCAATAATTTTCATTGCACATACCGAGTCGTTCAATACAAAAAGAAATAAAACATAATTATTATGATATGAGAAAACGATTAGAAAATTAATATCTTGAGATGCGGGTCAGACGAATGTGCATTTGCGTTAATTATTAGCCACTTGTATACGAGATGTAGACGTTTAGGTTTTGCTTAATTACGAGGCTCGAATCTCACGAGACGTAAACTTCCTCTCGGCGATGTGAAACGCAGATAAACCGCGGAATATAGAGCAATCGGCGACTACTTAATGCAGAGCAGGAACGGTACCTGATCAACGCCCGACGACGACGACGACAAGCAAGATGTTGTGGACGTCAACTTGTCGCGCGAGGTTTTTTACGCTTTTAATTAACGACGTTAGCGCCTGTTGGTCTATAATGTTTTAATTGACAGCGAACAGAGACGCGGCTGTTGCGTTACCTTGGCCTAAACGTGGAAATCGGTTTAAATTGTGGTTAAATTAGTGAATTAACGTGTGAATTAGAGAAGATCTGGAATTGGGTGACAATTTTATGTGTGTTGATGGATGAATTAATTATTTAGTTGCGAAATTTCAGAAACTGTGATGTATTTTAGGTGAAATGTTGAATTTAACATTTTGTACCACATCTCAAACATTGATATTCGGTATTTTTTATCAAATCAGTAAAATTTTGTGGTTAAATTTGTGAATTTGGGGTGAAATTCGTTGAATTAGAGAAGATCCTTATTAGAGTGATCTTTTTATTTGTGTTAATGGATGAATAAATGAAAAAATCATATTTTGTTCTAGAATTTGTTGAATTATGATTTATTTCTAGAGAAAAGTTACTTTTTCGAACTTGTACGGTAACTCAAACATTGATATTTACTCTGTATTTTTTACAATTTGATTTGCTTGCTTTCTTTATAACTTTACTTTGGTTTACGGTAGCAGTGGCCAATTTCCAGCGCATTTGTGTGTCTACACAGCCGACTACTCTGGCTTGTTGTTCGTGTTTGCTATAAAATTTATTTTTAGACTTGCCGAGATTTAGACGCCGCGAAACATAGAACGCATAGAACTTCGAATACGTTTGCGAGTTTATCTGTTACAATAATAATTCAAAATCACACGAGATTTTCACATTTATTTCTTTTGATTTTCATCATTTTCGCCATATTATTACATAAAATATAAGTTTTAAGTAATTCTTCATAAAATTAAACATTTTTTTGTTACCTCAGGTGTCTGAACTCTGTTGAAATTCCAGTAAATCCGCCGGTTTCCTGCAACTTTAGGTATTTTCGTGGCGATTTTGTGTGTCGTTGAAACTTGGCAGCGGCGTCGCGTTGCATTTCGTGAACTTCGTTTTGCTTCCCGGGCACCGGGCTAGACACTTCAACGTTTTCACTTTAGGCAAATATACATCTTGTCCAAACAATTATTCAACTGTAAACTTTTTCGCTGTATACATATTTGCATCGCAGCACTTTGGTTTAAACTCTGTTTAAGTTTATTTATTTTTTATTTTCGCGTTTTTCTTAGTGTTGTTGTGGTTTTGTTTGTTTTTCACAAAAAAGAAGCACTTATATTGTCTGTTTTTGTTAGATTTTCTCCTTTGCTAACCGCAGTTCACTAATGAACTTTGTACCATTCATTCTGCGGTCGAGTTTAAACTTTTTCACTTTGTTTTTGGCTGCGTAATTTGTGACTTCTACGCTTGTGCTAAGCCTGATTGCAAAAAGTAAATTAATGGTGACTTTCATGTCGATATTAATCTTGCTTTCACGTACTCAATCATTCAATCCTGTTTTTTTATTTTAAATTTGTACAGAAATATTACTTTTTCGTATTAATTAATTAATTACGCATAAACCAATCAATGTAGATTAACGATTTCTTTCTTTCAAAAATTGTAAAATGTCACTTTTTAGCACTTTTAGTCGCGTTTTTCGACCTGTTACTCTAGGAAATACAATTATTTTATATTTTTATCTGATAGAGAATTTTCCAATCTTTCATAATCAGCTTTGTTGACAGCTATCTATTTTAGTTTAGGAGATATTAATTAATAGAGCGAGAGCCAGTGACGGCCAGACTTTCGTCATTTTAGGAAAGATGAAATTTTGTCCATGTGTTTCTCCAACACAGGTAAGAACGATCCCCAATTATGAAACCTGGATCGTGGTTCCTTTGGCAGTTAACAGCCAACAAAGATGTACAAATGATGACCTCAAATTCGTTATTTTAGCAAACTCCATTTTTACATATTTTGTTCGTAACATTATTATAACATGCGCTACTAATTGCCAGACACCTAGTATGGTTCCAACCCTAGCCAGACACCCCTAAACTATAATATTTTTGAACTGTTTTACTTTCGTTATATCAGGAAAGCTGAATTTGAGTCACATTATGCAGAGAGCTATGAAACTGTGTTTTCTTTCACGCCAGACAGTTTGGTCGGTTCTATCATCCTGCCAGACGCATTGAAAGTGTTAAAAGTTGCAAAAGTTAAATTGTTTAAACATGAAATTTTCAGAGAACAGTTATTTTATTTGAACAAATATTTAATAATAATCATCCCTGTCGTCGATAACTGTTTTCTGAAAATTTCATGTTTAAACAATTTAACTTTTGCAACTTTTAACACTTTCAATGCGTCTGGCAGGATGATAGAACCGACCAAACTGTCTGGCGTGCTGGAAAACACAGTTTTATAGCTCTCTGTATAATGTGTATCAAATTCAGCTTTCCTAATATAACGAA